AACGATAAATTAAAATGCGATACATTTGAAGCAGTGGCAGCCTTCTGCAACCTAATGCCCTCCAAATGTGTAGGCCTACACCTTTCATCTGTAGGCTGTGGGATGCTGGAAATTGTTGTCCCACACATCTGGGGGGGCAGGTTGGGGGAGGCTGCTGTATGGACATAGTACTTGGCAGTCTTAAAAACTTGGGTGCCATACATAGAACAGGCTGGTTTCCATCTGTGTGTCATCTAGTCAAACCACTTGTTCAAATGTGTTACCTGTAAAATAAAAGGGTTGCTTTGCAGGTTCAGGCCCAGAGCCATCTGTTCGGCAACTCTGTTTCGTATGGTGGCCATTGTGTTACCTGTGGGAGCTTCCACAGGTAACAGGCTGTGAAGGCAAAGAAAAACTAGTCTGGAAGAGTGAAGAAATTCTGAAGGGCTTTATGAGATTTAATCCTTGCCATGTAAGACTTTATTATAATGTGACTATAAGCCAAAGAAGCAACATATACTTGGTGGAAATGCCAACTTGGAGCCACCCCTGCTCTGGTATTCTGTGGTGCATTGTTTTGGTACATTGATTTCTTTATAACATATATAAATAATATAACAGAGGAACCATCCTTCAGGTTTGAGCTAACGGGGTGGGGGTGGGTTAGAGCGGGAGTTAGCCAGGCTTCCCTGACCCAGTGGCCTTCATGGGCATTTGGACTGCAGCTCCCAGAGTTCCCATCCAGTAGGGCCATTGACTGGGAATTCTGGGTGTTGTAGTTCAAACATGTCAGGAAGGCGCAAGGTTAGGGAAGGCGGCTCTAAGCTATTGCCACATCTTGCGGTGGTAAGTTCCGTAAAATAAATGTGAGTTCTGCGAAGAAGCACTTCCTCGATCAGTCTTGAATGTACAACCCCTCAATTTCCCCAGCTGACCAAAGTTTCCATAGGAGAGGAAGACTTGTTTTTCCACTCTGCTTCCTTCTGACAGCCATGGTAGGGGTGCAGCCCCCAAGTAGGTTCAGGTGATGGAAATTATTCCTAGGAGTTGCACATTCTTTTCTCCTAGCCCACCCCAAACTAGAAGGCCCCAAACTCTTAACTGTTACTGCTGAAACAGTAACTCTTTAATCATATACCATTTTCTGTGTCTTTCCCAGCCAAATAATACAATTTTTGCAATAGTGAGACCTCAGCATTCCAGATGTGGCCACATCATAGATTTATGTATATGGCACATGCCTTATTTGCGGTATCTTTCCTGATAATTCTCAGCAGTGAGTTGCCTGTTCCCACAGAAATCCTTTTTTCTGTCTGAAGCAATGGGACATGGCTGTATGCTGCTTTATATTGGTTGGAAGACTCATAAGGGCAGTTCTTTGGCACCATTCTATATGATGTCATATTAATTCATATTACTAGTTTATACCTGGGGCAGTGGGAGATCTGAGCAGCTAGTTCTTAATGTTTAAAAAGAAGCTTTTGTGGAGGTGGAGCTTATAGGCCTAACTAGGAGCCATCCTCATGTTTTCCCTGAATTCATTATTCTTTAATCCCCTTCCTGTTGAAACTGGTTGTGATCACTCTCAAGTGAGGAAAAATGTGCTGTGTGTTATGGAAGACATGTTTCCTTGTTATAACTTCATGTATTTGATAGAATGTGACCATTTTCTGAAATTTCAGCTACTAAGATTTGGCACAAATAAAGGGGGAGGCTCCTGGCTGTACCAGATCCAGTATCAGAGGCAGTATGCCTGTGTGCGCCAGTTGCCCTCCTATCTTGCCTGTGCATTTCTCGTGGGCAGCTGGTTAGCCACTGTTTGAATGCTGGACTAGATATATTTTTGGTCTGATTCAGCAGGGCTCTTCTTACATTGTTATGCCACCCTGAATTTTTGGGAATAATGGACTACTCCAGGCATAGGTGACCCAGACCCCTACAGATTTTTTAGATTGCAGAAACCCTGTTCATCAGCCATGCTGGCTGAAAGTTGATAGCTGGTTGGTAATAAATTAGCGGTAGGATACCGCTTAAGCCTGCTGGACTTAAGTGCTGACCAGGGAGGTGAAATCTCCCAGACCAGAACTAAAAGTAGTAAGAGTCAAGGAGCTCTTCGCGTTCTTCATCTTTTCACGACTCTTCCTCACAGTCACTCTGTCTAACGGTGAACTCATGCAATGACTGCCTGTGTTTGTGTTGCTAAAGTTGGGCCAGTGAGAAGGAACAAAAGAACACTTAAACTACAAAGAATACACCAAGGGAAGCAACAACCCAATGGGAACTGACATGCTCAGTAGTTGTGGACATGGAACCTCAGGTTGGTGTAGCGGGACACACACAACAGAACACTGGTATGGCGCATCTGGAGGAAAGCATGGCTGCTGACCTTGGGATCCAGGGCTGAAGCATTCCTCCCAGGGGCTGGGGAAACCTGGCAGTGTTTGTCGCTGGTCCTGCTTCTTGCTATGGCAATACAAGGTGCGGTGTCATTTTAGTATTTGCATTGGCAGTATCCATTTCTCTCAGTATTGATATTCTGTGATACTGGCAGTATCAGCCAAAGATGCAGGATGGGCATGGCTGGTGGTGGCAGTGTTAGAGGCGAGACTACCTTGTTATGCTATGTACTGGGTTGCAGTGGACCAGCCTGCTGCAGGTTGGGGAACCAACAAATGTGTTGGGACTGTGGCTCCTAGCATCTCCTAGCCTACAATGAAAAGAGAATGAAGGTACTCATCAGTATCAGCTTCATATGCCGCAGTCTGTAGTTTGGGTCACAACCATGAAGTTTACCAGATGGTCTTTTGTACATCACCCAAGTCAGCCAGGGATAGACAGGCTTTAGTAATCTGTGTGCTAGATTGCTGGAATGCACTCTAGGTAGGGCTGTCCTTTAGAATGTACAAAATGTGGCAGCCAGATTAAGAACAGGAACCAGAAGATCTGAATACATAGCACCAATTCTGGCCCACTTGCATTGGTTGTTTATATGCTTCCTGCCCCATTCAGGGTGCTGGTTTTAACCCATAAAGTCCAGCGTAGCTTGGAACCACAATCCCTGACAGAACGCCTCTCCCATCCACAAACTACCCATCCACTACAATCAAGATCTGGGGCCTGCCTCTGATTGCCACTTCTGAGAGAGACTCAGCTGGTGGCAACAAGATCTATTCAGTAGCAGTCCTCCACTCATGGAACAAACACCCTATTGAGGTCTACCTGACACCAACTTTGATATCTTTTTGGCATCTGGTTAAAGCTGTCCTCTGGCAGGGCATTTAATTAGTTTTATATTATATTAGGGCATATGTCAACTGCTTAACAGGTCTTCTGACTGAATTTGGGTAAGCTATTGTGACTTTTTAACCTTTGTATAGCATTTTTATGATGTTATATTGGTATTGTATTGTATTCTTTGTTGTGAACTGTTCAGAGAGCTGCAGCTAGTGGGTGGTGGTGGTGGTCATAAATCACTAGCTGTAATTGTGAGAAGAGAAAAGGCTGTGCTTTACCTGTATTCTACTCTGAGCTTCTTAGATGGGATGGGATGCAAACATCTAAGGATGAGATACAAATGTGCTAGTGCAGTTTCAGAAATTTCTAAAGAAACAAGCAGGAGATGAGGTGGAATTCCACACCCTGCTGCCTCCACAATGTTTTCCACTTCCTTAGAATAGTTGCTGCTCAGGTCTTGGCTGATGGAAAATTCTTTTCGCAGCAGACAAATAATGTCCTCAGGTCACTTAGCTAAAGACCTGGGTATAGCAGGGCCTTCCTTCCTCTCTTGTCAGATTTACTGTCAGAGATCAATGGAATAAGTAGTTCTGTCTGCCCTGTACCTGCACTGTAATTCCAATGCAATGGATTGGGTGGGTTGATTAGACAGGGGAGGAGAAGTGGGAATGGTGCCTTTTTTCTATTGTTATTTTATTTATTTATTTAGAAATGTGTAGGCTTCCCATTACTGTTGTCTCTGGACAGCTTACATTTTTAAAGGAATCCTGGCTTTTTTCTTTTAAAGAACTCAAAGGAACTTACACCATTCCCTTCCTCCTGCTCTCAGTCTTATCCCTAGAACAACCACCCCCTGAGGAGAGTTGCACTGAGACTCTGTGACTGGCTCAAAGTCACCCAATTGGCTCCATGGCTGAGCAGGACCGAGAACTCAGATTGCCTGAGTTGAGTTTCAGCCCTGCACTCTTAAGCACTGCACCACACTGGCTCTCATATATAGTTAGAATATGCCACTTTTCTGCCTGGTGCGCATCAGATGTGTTGGATTGCAACTTCCATAATTCCCAAGTGGCATAGCTGTGCTGGCTGGGAATTATGGGAGTTGCAGTTGAGAACTTTGGCTGTGGGAGGTATAGAAATGTAATAATAAAGCAACACATCTGGAGAGCTCCAGCTTGGGAAACATTGGACTATGGCCCTTTGGGATGAGTTTTTGTTGTGGTGGCAAACCGAAGTCTCTGGACTGTAACACTTTTTATGCGGATAGTGGCTCAGATAAATACTTCTTTGTCCATGTAAAAGTACTCCCTCCACACAGAAAACTGGTGAGTCAGAGAGAAAGCAGGGCTCAGCCCCTCTCTCTGGCATCTTGGTTTTCTGTGAGCAAGCAAATGTTTTTTTAAAAAGGAGGAGTAGCCAGTGGCACGAGCCCCGCTGCCACCACCATCTGAAGAGGTACAGCTCAGACACAGGTTTTCCACCTCATTGAGGACTAGATTCCAGTTGCTCCTTATTCATCCATGGAAAAGAGTATCCTTATTAGCCTGAGCAGATCTCTTCCACAGAGTGAACCAATTTGCCTCCTCACCCCTGAATTCTTAGTTCATAATCTCCTGCTTTTATGGAGAAACCTTTATGAAAATTCCATGTATTCTTCTTGATCATTTCTGTTAGCTGTGTCCACCCTTCAGCATTTCTTCTGAGAATGTGTAGCAGGCAGCACTTTTAATGGTGTAGACTTTGTGCTGCAATTGCACATCTCTTCATGGCTCTCTTTCTTCCTCCAGATTTACTCCCCCCAGGAGTCTGCAATCTTCTGAACCCTTCAACCATCTATGCTAACAATGAGATTTCGCTCAGCACTATTGGCGTCTACGGCTTTGACTACGACTACACACTGGCTCTGTACTCTCCGGCCCTCCACTCTCGCATCTACAATACTGCTCGGGACATCCTTGTGGAGCAGTATAAGGTACCCCCTCCGGCAACTGATACGACTTCCTTTCCTCCTGCAGACTGAAACAGGCCTGTGTGTTTCAGGACTGTGCAGAGTTGGAGCCTGGAATTTGGCCTTGCAATGTTCAAGTGAAGAGTAGTGACTAGGCAGACGTGAAAGCCTTAGGGCTCAAGTCGACGTGACAAGAGTAGGTGTGGGAGTCTAATTTGTACCTCAGAAGGCGCTTTCAAGGGTGAGGCAATCTGAACCTTCTCCTGGTTTACCGCACTGGCAGTACTGGGTTCCAAGCTGGATTCACATACTAAAAGCGGGCTGGGCTGAGGAGAACAGCAGTTGGAGCAAGGTAGTGAGCGGGATGCTTAGCTCTCTTCCTCCGTGTGTTCCTTTTGGTATTAGAAGGAAGACCCACTTTGTATGTGAACAGGGCAGATACAAGAACAGTAAGCATGGCTTCTGCCATCACCTTTACTTGGTTCTTAATGTGTAGGATGGGCATTTCCCCTTCACCCTTTGTGGGTTTGCTGCTCAGGAGCTGCGTTTGGCTGATAAATATGCTTGTAATTTATGCAAGCAAATTCCCTGTAACAATCAAGGGATTATTCAAGGGATCATAATCAATGCAAGGGATTATTATCAATAATTATAACCAAGAAGAGGTTTTTTTCAAGAAGAGGTCTCTTGTACTGCGATACTTTAAACCAAGGATACAGAACTGTTGGTCCTGGGGCTGAAGTTGGCACTCCAGGGGTTCCAGGCCAGCCCCTGCATTCTCCAAATGGTCATGCCTCTGCCCCTGCCCCTGACTCCTTTTTCCCCAGCCACCAATTTCCCAGCTTGTGTGCATCCCCCCCTCCCATTCTAAAAGCTACTTCTAAGGCTTACTTAGAGACTGTAAGAGCTTCAAGCTAAGATATGCTGAGGTGTTTTGGTATTTTGCTCCTGCTCCTTTTGTCTTTCTTTCCTCTACCCTTGCTGGGATTTGCCTTCCAGGAACTTTTCATTCACACAATTCTGCCCTTCGGTACCCCAGCTCTTAATGTTTTAACGGATTGACCCCGCCCCCATGCTAATTGTCTCTCTTCTTTTGCCCCATCAGTATCCAAAGGGTATCTTGAAGTATGAATACTGGCCCAACTTTGCCATCCGAGGCTTGCACTACGACATTGCCAAGGTGAGAGAGGCAAGGATGACTTGTGTGTTCCAACTGTGGCCTTGGAGGGAAAGCACAGCCTGGAGCTGGGAAGGCGTGGTCCGCCAGCTGTTGTTGCTGCAATTCCCATCAGCCTTAGCATAACCCACAGTAAGGGATGATGAAAGCTGCAGTCCAGCAATATCGAAAGGGCCACATGTTCCCCGATATGTTCTAGAGGATCAGAGATGTATGTCAGGGGTGGCATATCTTTGCTTAGCTATAAATTCACAAGATAGCCATAGGTAAGCAGCCGTTCTTTCAGCCTTACCCCCACACTGGTATTGTGACAAGATTACTAAGGGAGTGCATGTGAAACATGCTGAACATTCTAAATGGTTTTGTTATATACGATCTTCATTAAATCTTCATTAAATATCTACTTTTCTGGTCACCTGCAGCATGCAAGGATCATCTCCAGGCAATGGGGTGAAGGGGTATTTATAAGGCTAGAAAAAAGCTCATTCTATTTTTCACTGTGGCCATCAATGTGAGACAAATGAACAACTGAGCTTTATGTGGGCAGGTGCCTTATGAACAATTATGAACCTTTGTGCAATTTTGGTGTAGGGGATCGAGAGCTCTCTTGTGTTGATGGCACCTTTCTCCTGCTGCTCTGTAGGGTTTTCTCATGAAGATCGATGCCTTTCATTACATTCAGCTGGGCACTGTGTATCGGTAAGTGTCCTTCATGGTGGCCCACAGATGCATGGAATAGAGTGCAGCTTGCTAGCTGGGAATGAGAAAGAAAAGAAGGAAGCTGAGATTCTTAGCTATTCCTAGATACATATGTATATTTTTTAAAATCTGGAGGGAGCCATTTCTGAGCATGTGTTCTTGCGTCTCATCTAGACATAGCTCCAGCTTCCAGCAAATCATTCTTTGTAAACTGGGAATTTGCAGTGGGGAATCATTCCTTCCTTTTTTCTCATTTGCAGACTCTGGTTGAGAGGGAATCTTGGGAAGCATTGATCACAGTTGACAATACTGCACATGTAACCCTAACTGTTGGTGGTCAAACAAGGCAAGGGTAAAGAGCAGTGTTGTAGTCATAAATTCTGAAGTGCAGGGGCTCATTGTGACAGCACCTGTAGGTGAACCCCTAAAGAGGATCATAAATCTCTGGCAACTACTTTGATCCATATTAAGCAAATGTTTCTGGCAGTTTTTATCTCCACCTGGAGCACGTCTCTTTAATTTCTCATTTAAGACCAAACCACCCCAAGAATATTTCATATTGCAGCAGAGAATAATCTATTGTAGCTGGGAAAACTCTTTTCCTTCCAGCTGTTAAGAGGATTGCCGCTGAGCTCAGAGGAACTGGGAAGTCTGATGGAGATGGCAAATGACGTCAGCATCCCCACTAATAAGTGCTGGTGTAGCTTCCCTGTGAGCCCTGCTCAAGAAGGGAATTTCTTCTGCAGGAAGTGAGGAGGGAACAGCCATCCTTTATTCTGGATCCCAGTTTGCAAACTGATTTGCAGGGAGCTAGCTTTATATCTGCACCAACTTGGTCTCACCAACTTTGGTGCCACATCAGTGTGCATGCCACTATGGTGTAACTTCTAACAGATGCTTGACTGCTATCGTGGCCAAGCACATAAACATGCCACCCGCTTTTTGTCATCTGCAGGGGCTTGAAACCTGTTCCCGACGATGAGGTGCTGGAGATGTATGATGGCACCCACCACATCCCCCTGCACCAGGCTAGTGGCTTCTATGGAAAGGTAGGTTCCCTTGTGAACTCTGGAGCCTGTTCTTGAGTGAGACAGGTTGCCAGATACCAGCTGGGATGGGCCCCATTCATTTGTCTGCCTCTGTGCTACCCAGGGTTCCCATGAACTGCCTTTCATGAAGTGTAAAGTAGTAATCTGGGAGTTTGCACAGACATGTAGCAACATCTTCTCTTGGAGCTGGGTCTCCAGATTCATAGGGTTTCTCTGTCACATATTGGTAGGAAGTTCTGTTGTCTTAGCTGATGGGCAGGGAGGAGAGCAGAATGCAGGACAGGCTGGAGCCTGGAGTCAGGAAGAGGCAGCTTTGTTTGCAAGGCTGCATCAGTACAGAAGTTTTGAATGTGTTGGCAGACTATGTGTCCATACAGTCAGGCCTCTTTACGTGCCAGTATTACAGCACTGAAAAGGCTTTTGGTATACAGGAAGGCAGCAGAAGAAAGAAGGTTTGAACAAACTCTTTGTTCAGTCTTCTGGGTAGGACAAAAAATAATCATGCATTATTATGTGTGAACCAGGCCATTGTGTTTGAACGTATTTTTTAAATAAATAACAGTCATGCTGGAGATGTCAGAACCAAGAATGCAGGGGCAGGGAGCTTAACCGTTCCTTCCCCTACTGCTGCACTGATGGAAAAATCCACCCCTCAGTTCTGCAGTGAGGAATCCGGTCTTCCTGTATGTGTGTACATTTTGGCATGGGAAGAGTGGGTTAAGTTTCCCTCTAATCGTGCCATGGTTCCAGTCCTCTGGCTTCTATTTCTACATGTTAACAAAAACATTAACAAATAAAAAGTACAGCACCAAACTCTGTGTTTAGCAGTTTGCATGGCTGAACAGCCCACCATGTTTTATTTAATTGCAGCCATGCTGAATACTTAAACCCCAGGTGTAGCTTGTTGTGTCCCCTAAAACCAGGGACTATGGGGTATGCAAGATTTAAATGACACTCAGAAAACCCAACAACAATTGCTCACCTAACCCATAATCCTCAAGATCAGATGGCACAACAACCCAGAGCTGTGCCTAAAATACTCAGAGCCCACCCAGCACAGGCTGCAGTCCATTTTAGCTTCACGAAGGCATGGTGGGCTGCTTTGAACATGCAAGTCGGGTCAATTGTTTCTTCAGTCGTCAGAGGGGTTGGCTCAGTAGAGGGGCACCTGCTCTGCATGCTCAGGGTTCCAGGTTCAACCTCCAGCTTTTCCCATTAAGGCTGAGGGAATCCTGCCTGCAACCCCAGAAGCCATGGCTCCAGTTGTCAACAATACTATGTTCCAGTGAAAGGAACAGGCTTCCAGGTAGTCCAGACTCAGTCCAGACTTGCCCCATTCCATGGGGAGCCCCCTGCTCTTTCTGACTGCCTGCATCTTACCTGTTAATCTTTAAGCTGCAACAAAATTATTGGTTGTTTTTGCTGTGGACTAGCACAGCTACCCTCTGGTACTCATATCTAATCTGTAGGCTTCCTGCCATCCAAATTCTCCCCATCCCCAGGTCCGGATTCAGCTTATCTCTGATAACAGGAATGTTGACTTTCTTAAAGCTGGATTTTGAAGGTTAACTGTGTGCAAGCACATGTGTGACTGTGATGCTGGGAGGCCAGCCTGGGTGCACGTCTTGTGTTCCTTCCACAAGACTTCTGCAGAGTTTGTTGATCACACGCCAGCAGTAACGGGGTGTCTGGCTGAGCGTCTGCAGGCAGTGCTGGTTGAGAACTCTCAAAGCGGAGAGACTGGTGTCCCAGCCCTGCGTCTCCATCTCCCTCTCTCCCTCCTTTCAGGGCCCAGCCATCAAGCAGTTCATGGACATCTTCTCTCTGCCTGAAATGACCCTCTTGGCTGTAGCCAATGACTTCTTCATCACCCATGACATAGATTATGACCCCATCCATCTCTACAAAGACGTGACGGTGTGTGTTTGCTCCACTTGGCTTGCCCTGCCCTGGGCGGTTTTGCAAGGCTTCTGTGTCGGGAGCTGCAGGGAGGAGGGGAAGTGCTCGTAGCGGGTTCTTGGCATTGAAAATAGCCCTTCCAATTTTGGCTGAGTGCGTGCGCGCGGCCGTGGGTGGGGCCGCTGGGTCCTGCCTGGAGCTTATTTTGGGGACATGGTGTTCTGTGCAGGCGAACTGAGGAGAGGGCCTCAGGAGCGTCTGTGGGAGTGGAACTCTGAGGTCTTCTTGATTGTCTTGTTGTGGGAGGGAGGGAGGGACAGCAGCAGAACCGGCTGTCCTGAGCTGCTGGAGGACTTGGGCGGGGCCTCCAGGAAGGCTTATCTCGAGCCCCAGCCTCATGCCTCGAGCCCCTGCCTGTTTTGAGCTGCCTTGCTAATTACTTGGATAGAAATGTGAGAAGCATCTGCTCCGCCAAGGCCTGTCCCTGCAGCCTGCCAGCTCCCTGGTCTGTGGCCAGAGGTCAGAGCTGGCATTCTTGCAAGTCGCATTGCTCCATTCCCTTCCCACATGTGCGCTCTCCCTCATCCCTCCCTCCACCAACCGGCCCAGAAGACCAGAGCAAGGAAAATGGGGCCCACTGAAGGCTAAGTAGCATAAATAGGTTACCCTTTAACCTCAGGGCTTGTATGTTTGAGGAGCTGGAAACTGTGGGTCAAGTTATATGCAAATCTTAGCAGTTTAGGAATAGGAGAAAGATAACTGAGTTGAAAGGAATTCCAGATGTAACATTCCTACTGGGGGTCACACTGAAGCTTGTTTTCCCCTGACCCATTCTTGCCAGCCACAAACTGAGTGTGAAACACTCTGAAAGGAGCTAAAGAGATTTGTTATACAGCAAGAGCTCCGTGTGTGTGTGTGTGTGTGTGTGTGTGTGTGTGTGTGTGTGTGAGAGAGAGAGAGAGAGAGAGAGAGAGAGAGAGAGAGAGAGAGAGAGAGAGAGAGAGAGAATTAAGAAGTGGTGAGGACCAAACCAGACAAGCTATCTTGCATTCTTTTTAAACAAATAAAAAGAGCTCAGGGGATTTTTAAATCAGATTAGGGCTGTTATAGAAGTTGAATGTTTAAAAAAAAATCCCCTTTATCCTTCTAAATCACCCTCCCCCATCCAAAGTTGCTCTTTGCCCTGCAAAGGAAAACATACCAATACTTTTGCTTTTCCCCCCAAGGACAAGTGAAGATTTTTTTATTTCCTAAGTGTTTCAGTTTTAGGAGTTTTTGAAACTTTGTACTATTGCATAAGTTCTTTTTGTACTCTTGCACTTCTATTTATTTATTCTATGTTTCCGTAACTCTTTTAAATAATATAATTTTTATACTTCATGCATTTACCTTTTTTTTGTGAGTGTACACGAGAGCCAGTTATTGTTGGGGTGACAATGAGATATTTTAAATAGATGAAAAGGCACAAAGCAGCTCCAGTGCGTGTGATTTTCACTGGGAAAGCTGGGCTGTGGGGAAGGGTTGCCCTCGGCTCCAGCTGGATTCCCCCCCCCCCCCCCCCCCCCCCCCGCTGCCCTTGGGATGATAGCAAAGAAATTGAAGGCAGAGGCATACAGCTTTTGAGAGGAGAAAGGCTATAAAGATATCACTGGCACTCTCCCCTACTAGGGCTAAGTGGAGTGATTAGAACTCTTTCCCTCATCCTCTCCTAGCCTAGACGCTGGCCTTGGAAGGATGCGAAACAAAGAGAGGTGCAAAGTCTCCCTGGCCAATATGCTGCCTCTTCAAACCAATGGCTTGACTTTGGTGGGACTGAAGCATTGGAAATGTGGTCTAGGGGAAGCTTTGTCAGTCTTCAGTGTTAAGACATGGATTCTCTGAAACAGCTTCTTTTTTAATGCTTGAACAGGATGCCATCCGAGATGTCCATATCAAAGGTTTCATGTACAAGTGGATTATGCAGAATCTAGGTGAGTACCCAACTGTTGTGGTACTGAGGATGGGGGAACCCTAGAATTGGGGCCTTGCATCAGACAGAGAAGACCCTTTTGATCCTCCCCCGTTTTCCAAGACAGGAGCCTCCACACACCAGCCACACTATGGAGCTAAACTCACATTCATTAGATGTGTCCCATTCAGCCATGAAATGTTTTGCAGCAGGACTGCTTTTGTGATACAACAATTTAGTGGAACCATATAGATAGCCTGAACAAGAGAACTGCAGTATAGGGGAAAGGAAAAGTTCAAATCAGACCCAGGGAGAAATACTCTCCTTAACCTGGACAAAACATTTTTTGCCTCAAATGGTTAATTCTTCAGAATGTACACAGTTTGTACATTTATGCAAATGTGCATAAACCAGGATATTGAAGGCCCACCACAGTGACTGAAAAACCTATTCCCTAATTTTGAAGCTTCAGCTGGCATTCCTGACATGTTTTCACACTTCAGAACCGTGATGCTACAAACTGGCTCTGAAAACATCAATGAGAGAGAGTATTATTATTATTATTATTATTATTATTATTATTATTATTATAACATTTCTATGCCGCCCCTTGCCGAAACCTCGGGGCAGCTTACAACACGATAAAATACAATGAAATACAATAGCACATAATAAATTACCATTAAATACAAAATACAAAAAATACATTGATTTACAAATATAAGATTAAAATTATCAGTATAAATTAAGTAAATAAAAATATAGGAGGAGAAAGAGAAGGAAGAAGAAGTTGCCCTGGCCAGATCATATGTTTTAACAATTAAAATGATGTTTAAATAAAACGGTCTTTACCTGGCGCCGAAAAACCAGGAACGACGGTGCCAGGCGGACCTCTTTGGGGAGTGAATTCCATAGAGTAAAGCTGAAATACTCAGGAAGTCAAATTCTGCACATAATGCCATATGCCAGGCTTTTTATTTGCTCCCATGGAACAGGCATATATGCAACCCCAGCAGAATCAGAACCATTCAAACAATGTTTCATCCCACCCAAACCTGTCTGTAGGTGTGTCAGCTTCTATGAGAGGGGCCCCTTTCCTGACCCTTGTGGATAAAATAGAAGCATTAGCTTTAAAATCCAAACCATGGATTTTTATTTACATGCTATTTGCATTTTTGTTTTAAAAAAATCTGTACGAGACACAATGATGCAGTAATATACATTGTGCATTGATGGTATTTTTAATTGGCCCAATCTGTGAGCAGTTTAAAAATATTTTAAAAAATCATTGCGTCACTGAAGTGTTTTAGGAGATGATGTTCCTTTAGACCAGGGGTCCTCAAACTTTTTCAACAGGAGGCCAGTTGAAAGGTGCTGGCGATGGTTGCGGGCCGTCAAAGCGGTGCAGATAGGGGGCGTGCGAGGCGAGGCAGAGGCAGGCACGCCTGGAGATCGTTTTGTCTGAGTGAGTCCAAAATGATCTCCGTGCGAGCAAGCCGCCTTTTCTCCGAGTGAGTCCAAAATGATCTCTGCGTGAGCAAGCCGCCGCCTTGCCACATGTGCATACATGCATGCAGTGCATTCAGAACCTCTGTGGCGGGCCGGATAAATGGGCATGACGAGCTGGATTCGGCCCGCAGGCCATAGTTTGAGGACCCGTGCTTTAGACACTTCTGGTCTCAAGTCATTTAGGCTTTAAGGGTTGGGCTTGGAAATGGGCTTGAAGCTAGTGCAGTTGACAGAGCACTGGTGTCTCGTGGTCTTAATGGCTAGTCCCAGTTAGAAGCCCAGGAAGTTTCCAGGCTCCCTGCCAGAGCAGCCCCCAGTGCAACACAGTGTAGTTATACAAGCAGGATACTGCACCAGGCTCTTGTCCAGCTAGCATCACAGCTGCTATAGCAGCCTAATCTGATGCTCAAAAACATTCTCACCATGCTACATATAATAGTAACTATTAGCATTAAATATTACAAGCTACAGAATTTCCGAAAAATATATTCCTAATGAATGAGCCCTATTATCTATAAAAGTCTCTCATTTTATGCTAATATCTTTTTCTTGCTCAAGTTATTTTTTGTAATTACTGAGTTCTGACGTGATGGCATGATAAGTCCTTGGTGCCGGTCTGCCTGTGTTCCTTTTTGCAGAGGAGTACATTCTGCGTGGGGATGAGACGTATGCTGTGCTGCACCGCCTGGTTAAGAACGGCAAGAAGCTCTTCCTCATCACCAACAGCCCTTTCAGCTTTGTGTGAGTTTGACATGGCAGGGCTGTAGCTTAGAATAGGTTGAGCGAAACCCTGCCCTGATCCCATACTGTACATATCTGATGAACTCAGTGAACAAAATGGCTCTGCTCAAATGTCACTCCTGCCTTATTAAGCAGAGCTGCCTGAATTGGAACCGCTGTCTCTTTGAAATCTACAAGGAAACCACCCCCAATCTGGGGTCCTCTTGATGTGTCGGCCTACAGCTTGCAGAATCCCTCCAGCCAGCCTGATTCTGGGAATTGTGTCCTACACATCTTCAGGACCCCAGATTGGGGAGGGCTCATGTAAGGCCTCTGAGCCTTGGTCTGCTGCTCACCACATGTTCAAACTTGATGTGGCCTTGAGGGCTGGAAAGTTGCTTTGGAAATGAAAGCTAACTCAAAACATCAATCCTTAGAATCTTATTCTGAAGTAACTGCTAATTTTGAAGGTGCTACCCAATTCTTTATGTGTAGGGATGTTCTTATAACAGATGGGTGCCTTTCTTGGAATTCAAAAATAGCTTAAACATTACTGGACTCCCAATTTTGTCCAGGAGTCCATACCTTGCTCCATACCATGTTTGCAGATAACAGGATGCAAAACAGGCCTGGTATTAGAAGCAACTGTATTTGCAAAACATCTAAACCCTATATAGAAACCCTAACCTTAACCATAACCATGCCTGGCTTGGATTGAGGAGAAAACAGACATGCAACCCTGGAAGTGTCCTATGAAGCAATAAGAGCAGACTCTAAATAATTTTTTTGCTGCTTTCACAGAAGTGGCTTTCTTACTTTTTTACCTGTCTGCAATCTTAGTAATCACTGTCCACAAACCACTGTGACTTCCAGTTTGCATCAAAGCATTCCATCACTGCTCTTTAAACCTGTTGGCTGCTCATACAGGCAGCTATCAAGTAGACAGCCTTGTGGGTGGGAAGATAAACAGCTAGGTGACATCTCTTCTGAAGTTTACAGTTTTCCCTTCCCTCTGTTGTGAGGACCCACAGAACGTAGGAAAGCCAGGTTTTCTGTGGCACAGGGCCTCCTGTTGCTTGCTGTCAGTAACATCACCTTGACTGCTCGCTCTCTCTCTTCCCCCAGTGATAAAGGGATGCGCTACATGGTGGGTAAAGACTGGCGAGACTTCTTTGATGTGGTCATAGTCCAAGCAGACAAACCTCATTTCTTCAATGATTGTGTCAAGTGAGTGTGGCCCCAGTGCTTGGTTTTAGATCCCATTTTCTGAAGAGGTGTGGGGTGAGTTAAAGCATGTCCATGTGGGCACTTTGCACATCCCTTTTTTCCCCAGCAGTGGGTGGAGTGGAGTTAGTGTACAGCCACGTGTGCACCCTATTATGGATTGTACCATCATTTCTCCATTTATGTAGATACTGCACACACTATTGACAGTATGCTGTTGGGTAGGGTACACTGAATTGTAGGCATGTTTGCAGTAAGGTGCACTTATTGGTATAGTTGAGAGCTGGAGGCAGCTTAAAATCACAAATGCAAAATGTAAAGACTTGATAGTAATGACTTTGATAGTAGTGTCTTTGATACTAACCTTAATAGTAATGTGGGCTCAAAATGCTGTTTCTGACCTTTGATGTAGTCCTTTGGAGCAGCACTTCAGAGAGGCCCAAAAAGTCATTTCTTTTATTCATCTAGTAATAACACATGTGCTATATATCTTGAAGTGGTTTACATGCTAAAATTGCTGACTTTTTATTGCTCTTTGCTTTGCTTTCCTTCTTTTTCTTTTTTCTTTTGCTGTTCATCTATTTTTAGATTTGGCTGCCTGCCTGCTTTATGTTCTGTGGCATAAATGAAAATCATGGGGAACAGGAAACTTGCCCTGACTTGTAACAATGGTGGTCTCCTTAATCCGAACGGGGTGCTTTCTACATTTCTACATGACCTCCGCATATTGTTTTCACTTCCTCCCTCCCTCACATCATGTTGACATTTTAAACAGCAAGCTTTAATACAAGGGTTTCTTAAATTCTCTGAGCTGCACTTACTTTAAGTGTAATACAGATGAAAAAATAAGTACTGGCTGTTGACTTTTCTTGGCCCTGAGAATCATTTTATTCACACAGGGATTTGTAGGCAAAACATAGGTAGATTGTAACAGGCAGCCATTTTATATACATGCTTCCCACAGGGTGTGTATGTATGGGGCAGGATGATTAAATGAGAGTGAATGGTTTTATGACGTTGGAGTGTGAACCCGTGTTGTCCTTTTGCCCTCACAAAAGTTTGTTGACTGACTGCCTCTCTACCCAATACTTGCTTCTGTCCACAGACCTTTCCGGCGACTGGACAGCAATGGGGACCTGCAGTGGGACAAAATAAATAAGCTGGAAAAGGGGCAAGTGTATAAGCAGGTAAGGAAATGGACTATAGAGGACAACATTTGCATGGTAGTGTTGCTCATTTGGAAGAGCCAAGTCAACACACTCAATCTTTGCAACCAGTTTCTTCCATCCCAGTTTCTGGTGGGGATAACTGCAGTCATCAGCATTTAACATTTGGGCTGGCCATTGGTTAATGGTGAGGTTTTGTCCCAGACTCAGCAAAGCATCCCCATTGCAGAAGAGGGAGGCTAGTGAGTAACAACAAATACAGGTGAATCCTCAGAGATATTCCAGATGGGGTAGCCCAGTTTCTGAAGGTGGCATTGGGATACCCCAACCACCCCCTGCCCCCATTTACCAGCAAGAAATGCCTTGTGTTTGTGAAGGGAGTCACCTCCTCCTGCATTGCTGTAAAAGATAGGAAGTCATTTTGTTCCTCTTTCCACAGAACTCTTTTAACCAAAAATCCCCCTTATTTAGCCCTTGTCTAGTAACCTCTCTTGCTTTCCTTTGCTTCTTAGGGCAACCTCTTTGACTTCCTCCGGCTGACAGGCTGGCGTGGATCCAAAGTGCTTTACTTTGGAGATCACCTTTACAGTGACCTGGCGGTGAAATGTCTTGGTCTTTTTCTCTGGGGCATGAGGGGAAGGGGAAGGGGACGGAACCGAACCAGGGCTTTTAGATTCTTTCCCCAGTAGACTGACTGGTGCAGAGTGGAGCCTGTGTAAAATCACTCTCAACCTCTGCTTCTGCCTTCCTTCTTTCCCAAGGACTTGATGCTACGGCATGGCTGGCGGACAGGGGCCATTGTTCCAGAACTGGAAACAGAGACAAAAATGGTGAACACAGAACAGTACTCACAAGCACTCACCTGGCTGCAGGCCTTGACTGGGTTGCTGGAGCGCATGCAGGTAAGGGAGAAGGGTACAAGGAGTGCCATCAGTGGAACTTTTCATGATGTGTGGTCCCCAGAAACTGCAGGGCAAGGAACACTCAAAGCAGTATTGTACTAAGATACTCTGAAGGTTGGTTAAGCTAGAGAAAGAGATGGATTTCCAGTGACCAGCTGGACTGTGGGTATCAATCTAAAGGAAAGGGCAGTTTTTCTAGCTGTAGAAAGTTCAGTTAATGTGGGATGACCAGATAACATGTCTAACCATCTGATTTTGTTCCTTAAAAGAAATTCCAGGACCCAGAATCCCAGCAGGTGCTGCAGGACTGGATGAAGGAGCGGCAGGAGCTCAGGTAGCATTTCCCATATTTTCTGCCTCTTCCAGGGCTTTGCTGGGCCTAATCCAGGTGTACAAGTTTGCTTGAGGGACAAAGGAGAGGTTTTTGGTTTTTGTATTATTTTTAAGTCAAACAGTGAGGGGTTTTCTTTTGAGCAGGGGTGTGTCTTACCAGAAGAGTAATACTTCAGGGCTCTGTGGAAAATCAGAGCGACCGCTAGACTTTGCTATCTGGTGACACTTATAGAGCACTCACTCACTCTGGAGGAAAAGAGCATGTGGATCAGTGCTGGCATAAAAGGTGGGCCCTGCCAGAGTGCAGGGCCATGGCAGCTGCCCAAGGGTGCCTCCTTGTTGGTGGTGTAATTTGCCTACTCTGCCTACAGTGTGTGGGCTGTAGTGCCATGCACAAAACAGCCTCCAAAGACTGCCTTTGGTGTGGGCTGGTGTTGTACTGTTTATGTGAGTATAGAGCCAACATGTGTGATTTTAGCAGGATTTACCAGTGGCCTCTACCTCCCTGATTGTGAGAAAATCTCAATCTTAGTGAGAGACGGTGACTTGGACTGATTATTCGTTCATGAAAAGATGAGTGCATTCATGTGCAGGGACAATATGGAGATCTCTGCCCATGGCCTCGGGACAGCAGGCCCATTAATCTCTGCAAGAAGACAAATGCCTTTTAGGAGCTAAATTTTTCATTTCTGCTGTTTTTGACTGTTATTTTTGTTCTTTCCTTCCATTAGCTGGTGCATTATTTTTTTTAAGTAGGGGTCCCAGGCAGTTTAGAGCAGCCTTCTCCAACCTGATGCCTGCCAGTTACATTGGATTACAACTGCAATATTCTCCACCAATTGAAAGTTGTAGCCCAACACATCCAGAGGACACGATGGAAAAGGCTGATTATAGGAAACAGCTTCTTTTTTTATCCCTCCTCTCCCTGCTTCCTCCAGGAATTTCCTTTTGCTGAACTTGAATAGGATTTCATTATATGCTTCCAGACTGGGATTTGACAAGAATTGTTCAATGAGAATGAGGAAGATATTTTAATTGTGGACTGTGCATAGATGTTGGTTCTATGGTAGAGGGAGTGAAGTTCAGTAGATTGACAAGCCCAGCATGAGAATCATGGGTCATTCATTGGTCCAATTTATCCTTTTTAAGAGGCTAGTAGATTGAAGGTTTGGCTGCCAATGTAGCAACAGAAGGCTGTGTTTGTTGTGCTGTTCCCCTCCTCTCCCACTTGGTAAATAGCCAGTTGTGTAAACACAGAGCAAAATTCCATAAGAAAATTACAAGAACCCAGAAAAAGGACTTGTTCAGGCTTGAAAACAGTCCAATAAGCTTAAAACAAAGTAGAAGAATTGAGTAAAAAAAAAGGAAATATCTTATTACACAGTTTGGAAGATTAACTTGACTGTAAATTAAATACAGAAACTAGCTGTGCAAGTTTTAAAACCTTTTTTAAAAATCTAACAGCTCCAGATTCTTCTTAAAATAAATCCCATAGGCCAAAAGATCCAGTAAAATGTTTTGGGATATACCTAACCAACTGCAGTTAGGTCATTTATAACAATCATTTCCAATTAAGAAAATACAAGATCTAGATTAAAATTTTCCCTTTTTTGGGGTAGAATAGCTATCATTAAGCTGTCTATTCTATCAAAACAAAATTTTTAATTATTTATAAACAAACATACCTTTCCTGTACCTTTTCCAGTTCTGTAATATTACTTTTGAAATGCAGTGATTTGCACAGTATTCCAGGTGTGGTTGTACCATGGGTTTCTATAAGGCATCCCAATATTTGGAGTTTTATTTTCAATTCCTTTCCAAACAAATTCCAGCACAGAATTTGCCTTTTTCAAAACAGCTGCACAATGGGTTGAAGTGTTCATGGAGTTCTTCACCCCAGTGCCAAGATGTTAATCATTCAGATGCCTCAGTGTATACATGGTTAGGATTTTCAAGACACAATCCTATGCAAGAATAGACTGAAAAAAAGTCTACAGCTCGTAGCTAGGTTGCCTGAGAGAAGTTGGGAGTTTTAGGCTACCTGATTTACATAGGTTTGTGCCCTTAATCTCTCTGTGCTTCACTTTGCAATTATGCTGAACTACATTTGCCATCCTAATGCCCTTCCCCCTAGTTTGAAGATATGCTTTTAGAGTTCTTCACTATCCTGCTTCCTTTCATTTCTGTGTAATTTGGTGTTATCTCTAAACTTGGCCATCTCACTGCTCACCTCTAAATCATTTATGAGCAAGTTAAAAATCACGGGTCTTACACATGTCCACTGGAAGAATAGTTAATTCATGTTCTTTGAACTAGTTACCAAACCCTAAGAGGACTCAGCACCTGAGCACAAAAGTTCTTTCTGTCTGAGGGGTCAAATCTTGGGAGGACTGCATTCCTCTGGTGGGTGGAGCCAAGGACAAAAGGGGTGGTCCCCAAACCCCAAGAATGCCAGCATATTTTAGTTTAATTATCAACCAGCTAAACCTTAAAAGAGGCATCTCAACAGGTCAGAGTGGGGACAACACTGCACAGAAGCAGAAAACTACCAAAATATCTGCAGCCAGGAAAGAGAAGGTATCCTTACGAGGACCCCCAGATGGCTAAAATTGTATTGTAATAGATGCCCAGAAAGCATGATGCTAACAGGTGGCATTTAAACGAATGAATCAAATAAATGGCTCCCTGAATTTCTGCACCTTGCTTTGCCAATGGTGGCCAGTTTCAGTCGGTGAGAAAGTCATTCCAAACAGTGTAGGTAAACTCTGGGGCAAGCTTTTACAAATCTCCTTTTAAAAAATGGTTTTGGAGTTTTTATCTCTAGAGTATCCCTGCAATGAGGGCAATAAAAGACTATGGATGTTCCCCCCTTCTACCAAGACAGGATAATGTACAGTTTCATAAACTGGTAACATATGCTTGATTCAGTTAGCTTTAAAAGGGACTGACACAGAAATTTTGCTAATAAACGGGGCTGTAACATTTAATCAGTGGGCAGGTACGAAGAATTATTGGAAGTTAGTGGTTGCGTTAATGGTCTAGTATGTCCCCCTCCGCGTACTGATAGCCATTATTTGGATGTTGAATACTCTGAGCAGCTCTTCCTTCTATGCAAACACCCCGTCACACACAGAGAGAGAGAATTCCATGGGGGAATAACAAGAAGAGGCTTTGCCACTGTGGGTTGTATCTCGTTTGGTAAGATTGAATTTCGTGTCTGTATAAAAGAATGAGCTGGACTCAGCAACTGGATAGTGCCGGGGTGGCCTCCTGCTTATATCTGTCTTCTCCATGCATGAACTGCTATGCACTATATATGCACAAAGGCTATATATTGCCCTAATCGCTAGGTTGTACCAGCACTTGAGGGCTGGGAATCCAGCAAGCATCTTCACATCTTTTCTGAGAATATACGTATGCTTATGGGAATGGAAACTAGTGTCTGCTCATAGGAAAGTCCTTACACACACACACACACACACACACACACGTGCGCACTCACACACCTCAAGACAAACAATTCTCACCTAGGTTCAGTGACAGTAAAGCTCAGTGACCAGAAAAAACTGATTTTTGTGACCTATATAATGGAAGTATACAAATGCAGCATGACCTATATACATTGTTTATTAATATTTCTATACCACCTGTAGCAGATGCTCTCTGAGCAGTTTACAACAATAATCTTAGATTCATACACCCATCCAGATTCTAACCAGGTCTGACCCTGCGTAACTTCCAAGATTAGGCAAAATCTGGCGCTTCAGGCTATATGGAAGCTGTTCTATGCAAATTTGAATTGATTCAGGTTTTGCTTGTTGGGCAGAAGAAATGTGTTCTTTCTTAAGCACCGCACACGCTGACCCCCAGAAATCTTACTCTGCACCATCCACGGCTTCGGAGACTTCAGCTGTTTGCTACACCCTTTCAGGCATACCTTTGTAAAACATACTTGTTTTTAAATGTTTTGCCTTAAATGAAAACTAAGGTTCTCAGGCATCTCCATACTTTGGGCTGTGCTGTGTTCTGCAGCATCACACTGCCCTGTTGTAACAAAGTATTGAAAATGAAATGCAGGAATCTTAACTTTTAGTTGTGTCAGTGCTGTCTGGTCACAGATTTTCTTCTCTCCCTCCTACCCCACCCTGATGCAGGGCACTCACCAAGAACCTCTTCAATCCTCAGTTTGGCAGCATCTTCCGCACATGTCACAACCCCACCTATTTTTCCCGCCGCCTGTGCCGCTTCTCAGATGTCTACATGGCCTCACTCAGCTGCTTGCTGAACTACGACCTCAATTACACTTTTTACCCAAGGCGCACTCCATTGCAGCATGAGGCTCCCCTCTGGATGGATCAGCTCTGCACTGGCTGCATGAAGACACCGTTTTTGGAAGAGATGGCACACATCCGCTGAGAACTGTGGGGCAGTGGCAGGCTTACCTCTGCTTCACATCCTCTAGGTAGCCTGGCTTTGGTACTGAAGGGTCGATTTTCTTAAATTAGAATCCTCTGTGGTCTGTGGGTGTGTGTGTGTGTCAAACTTGCAAAGCAAGAGTGCCAAGTAGGAGTTCTGCACTCGTTAAGGCCTGACTCACCTGTGTTCAGTGGTCTTGCGTCTTCACTCTTGCTTACAGACATAAGCGCACTGCCTTGCTGGCATCACCCGAGATCCAACTAGTCTAGTGTTCTTTGCCAAAAACCTGGCAACCAGCAGGTGCTGGGTGGTCCATGACAGCAGCCAATCGATAGAGCACGGTCTGCATTCTGTCCTCACCTGTTCTATGGTGTTTGGAATTTTGTTCATTCCATGTCCATACGGGGAGTGACTGGGACTGGGCTTCCATTCGTTCCTCCCATATACACACACTGCTCCTGTTAAGCAGGAGGGGGCAAGCATGCTTGGATTTCTCACTCCAGTCCTCAGGCTTCTCAGCCTCCTCCTGTGGAACTCTGTAGAGCTACAGCAATTCTGTAGTGTTTGAAGTTTACATTTCCCCTGCACTGTGGGGTAGGGTTTTTTCCTGGCTTGGAACAGAGAGGGGTACAGGGTACTGTGTTGGGGAAAGCGGTGGGGAGAGAAAGATCTTGCTTCTCACTGGTGTGGGAGGGACAGGAGGTGCTATTGGATTGGGAAGGGCGTTCTTAGATGTTAACTGGAATTTTGAAATTGTAATAAAGATAAGTGTGAAACCTACCTCTGATACGATTTCGGGGATGTGAGGGTGTGCAGGGGGAGAAGCTGAGTAGCTTGTGCATATTGGCTGCCAAAATGGATTTCTTCTGCTCCCTTCTAACATTTTATTTTTACATCCCTTGGTCCATGATGTAGAGTAGTTTTGGGATCTGTGTGTGGGGGATGTAGTGTAATGTTATCTGCTTAGAAAAAAAAAATCTGTTTCAAAGGCATCCTCCATGCAGATTACCAAATTTGTTCCACTTCTGCTTATTATATGGAAGGTCTATATAAAAACACTAAACCTTATGACCTCTGACTGTTGGAAATGTTGTTCAACTCCTCTGTCAAGTCAGGCATTTTCCATGTATTTTGATATACTTTAATAATGAGAGGGGATAGAAACTGGGGGAGGGGGTTTAATGAAAGCCACTGTGCTAGGATATAACCAGTCTTGTGAGGGTTTGGTACCACCTGCAGGCCATCTTGGCAATTTACAAGTAGTTTCCACATTCAGCAAGGAGTGGATTCTTGAAATGTTCCATAGTGCCATGTGTTTCAAAGATCTCCCATCCCATCCTCAAGAACACCTTTTTTGGTTACAATTTCATTTTCTTTGTGTATACAACTAGTGTTATGGCCCGCAATTAATTTCGAGGGAAGACTACTCAGGTGAAGTGGCAGCTCCCTGTCTTGCCTGAAGTTGACTGTTACTACATCTTTTTGCTAAACCCCTCGGAGTACTACAATTTTCTTCCCTTTGAGTTAACCATTGGAAGGAAAGAGGGCAATTGATGGTCTTTAAGAGGACAAATGTAAATTGGGGAAGGGGGGCTCCAGTTGATAGATCTTTAGCAAATAACTAGCAAAGCTCTTCATAATTACATGCATTCCAGCTTTTCTAAAGTGCTATTTATTTCCAGTTTAGAAGGAAAACTTGCCTTAAGGAATGCTGAGGCTAAGAAATAAAACTAAGGCTGCAGTCCCACACACTAACCTATGTATGGAATCCTCTGCAAAGCAGAGGGACTGAATAAATATGCTCAAAGCAAGACTGTGCTACACTTAGAACAATACCACCTGCCTTTCCCACTTTGGCATATACTGAACCTGAAAGTGCAGGAAGGCAAACTGCAATTTTATTCCAGAGACTACATATCAGAAACGTGTGTTGCCAACCCATTTTTGCTTTGCAAAATGACAAACTGTGAGGAGGCTGGCATAGCTTGTGATCTGGGGAAGCAAGCTGCACACTTGTGATTTAATCAAACACATTTTATTGCTTGCCTTGGTCTACAAAATAGGATTAGTCAAGCACTTATAAAAAACAATTTATGGCCTGCTTTAGAGAAGTTTCAGGCATGAATTGGGAATGGACAAAAAACAGTTCTGGAAAAGCAACCATAGGAACCAGTGCAGTATAGCAATTAGAATACTGGATGTGAGTCTCAAGAAATCCAGGTTCTAGTTCCATGAGGCTGGACCAGCCATTGATTCTCAGCCTAAGCTACCATGCAGGCTTGTTATGTGGAGGGTAGGTGGGCCATGTAAACCAACTTGGATATCATTTCTGGAGCTATCATTTTTTCCAGCCTCAGTGGGGCATTATCCGTTCACCCTGACCTTCCTTCAAATATGAGATAGATGGACTCCATAAAGGAAGCCACAGCCTTGAATTTACAACAGCTGAGTAGGGCTTTCATGGATAGGAAGGGTTTCGCTGACAGGGTTGCCATAAGCCAGAGACAACAGCACATAAGTTCCTCTTCTAAAAGGAGTCAGTGTTTTGCTCTCATCTGTGCCCAGCAGGACTAGTTCACACATGCACATACACCATTAAGATTTCCACACAAGCTATGAACATGAGTGTGAACACTCATTGACAGAATCTGCACAGAGCAAGATTTGATGGATATCTATTTAGCTCCTGTCCAGAGTGGGTCGTAAGGTACACCTGACCTGGATCTCTGGGAAAGTTTCAGAAGCTTGGCAAGGGTTTCTGATTCTTGAGTTGTTTAACCCAACTGATAAGACTTTCTTTGCCTAAATTTGGCTGCTGAAATGAAGAGAGCATGAGTGGGCCTTTGTGTGAAAGAGCTGTAACCAGTCAAGTTCTAGGCTCAAAAGTTGTTCAGATAATGTTTTCATTTTAACAATTCAGCCTTATGTGTATCTGCTCAGATAAAAGCTCCATTGAGTTCAGTGGGCCTTACTCCCAAGTAAAGGAGTGTATGTCTTTTGCACTGGGCTCTAGTTGGTGGAACTTGTGACTCTCATAGCAAGCAGAAAAAGGAAAAAGGAAAGCTTGAAGTCTGTACTCACCTTCTCTATCCCATTAGTGGAGCGACTGACCCTCAGGAGCTCAGTCTCTGCTCTGTAGCATCAACTGGGATCCAGTTTCCCTCTTGCTTTCTCCACACTCCCCCTGGTGCATGCTGGGGATGGCAAGCCAGGGAGAGGCGTCATTGGAGATAATTTGCTGCTTGTAATTGTTTCACCTGGTTGAGATGGCAGCATCTGAGCCACACGATCTCTTTGTGGGGGAGATGGGAGCTAAAGAGCCTCCAAACCTCCATTTGCCTGGACCCCGGCTGGGACAAAGAGGCTGCATGACATGGCATCAGGACACAGCAGGCAACTGGATACAGAGGCGGCGGCTGGAAGTGGCAGGTGAGAGGGACCTGCATAGGTTGGTGGTGTTGATGCTGATGAAAAGGGATGGAGCAGAGCTGATGGGGTGAGCAGATGCTAAAAGCTACCAACTTAAGCAAATCAATGGCTATTTTAGGTTGGAGCATTCAATCATTTTTAATGAGCACTGAAATCGCTTCAGGATAGTTTTAAGAAAAACTTCCTTTCCTGTGGCATTGTGTTCATACATGTATTTCCCCCCACACATTTAGCTAAACAGGTTTCTTCAAAAACCTATTTAGCAGAAGTGAAAATGAAATTAATGTGCACATCCTTTTTCAAACTACCTTTAACTCTCCTGGGGTGGGGGGCAGGGGGAGAAGCCACCATCATCTGTCTCTAGCCTTAGTAGTGGGAAGCCAACTTCAAGTGAGAGCTGAAGACACTTACAAAAGAGAGTGAGAGAGATTATTGTGTTCCTGATGTCCTGCTGAAATAGAAAAGGAAAAAAATAAGATGGGGCTTTCTCTCCTAACAATCAGCAGAGTTCTGCTTAAGAAATGGAAAACTAATCACATGGCACTATTTCAAAAGGACACCACTACAGCAATATTGAGGCTTTTCTTACATGTATATATTAATGTAATGTATCAGACAGACCAGCCAGAGGAATGAGAGGCTACCCTGAAACCCACCCACTCTATTTCATCTCCCACCCACAAACACTCACCCCCATTTCCTCTCCCTCATTAGGATTTCACATGAGCTCTGGCTTTGGGCCAAGGCTCAGATCCTGGCTTTGCATCCCCCACCCCACGGCAAGGGACTCAAAACCTATGGTGAGTGCCTATTGAGGGCTCTGTGTGACACTTTCCAAAAAGCACTAGAAATGAACCTCCCACTGCCACAGCCTTGGTGGGTTTCATCACTTTCTTCCCTCTTCCTTCCAGCTGCAGCATGCTCAGAAACCACTCGGTCTTGGCATGCTATCTCTTCACGGGCCACAAATCCCAGCAAAGTGTCTCAGAACCAGGAACAGCTGCATCGAGAGTTACTGTTCACACATCGCAAGTATGCCTAGATGTGCTGGCCAGCTAGTACTCTTTTAACATTTCTTGTGTGTCAACGGTGTGTGCATGGATTTGGTCCTGTACAGAGCAACCCCTCTGAGTCACTTCTGGGTTGTCCAAACTTTGTAAATACTCTCTTGGGATGGTTATTAAGTGTCCCTTTCCCTTCAAAAAATTGTATAGCTTCTTGAGAAGGAACTGGGTGTCCTTTCCATCATTCCAAATGTGTAAAGATCTGTTGCTTAGAAAATTCTACTCTTCTATTTCTCCTGCCCCTGCCACACCGGTCTGTCCACTCAATAGTTTTCCAGTTCAGACTAATATTATGCAGATTCAGATGCTGCATGATATTGCTGGCAATGAGCAGCACAACTTGATTCTCTGTGCCATTTCTCTGTGTGGTGTTTTATTACCTTCAAAATACATGCTGGTAAATTCACCTTGCATTCTGCAAGCAAGGTGAGAGCGCTACCTAGAAACCATCTTAAGTTCTTCTTTGTCAAAGTGCTACCCTGTATTATCAGTGAATATGTGGGTGAGAATTTCTAGAAGGATAGACATTTTAGACGGTTGAAGCAAAATCACAAAGTATTAACGTTATTATTGCCATATGTTTGTGGGTTACAGCCCCCACATCAGTTCCATTTTTTGAAGAGAACAGCTATCAACAAAAGTCCAGTGTCAAAATTTGCTTCGTTGATGTGTGAAGAAAACAGTTATGAAGTTAAATTTTTATGACAAGTTTTTGTGAAAATACTCTAGCTTTCATAAGCTTACATATGTGGTACTATCTCAAGATTTTTTTACTTATCTACTGAATCTTAACCATGTGCAAATATTGATGTTCCTCACTTTGTGGAAGAGATGTACAAAATGCATTTTTTGTGTCATGGGAAAGATGTATCAAACATTAAATCTGAAGCTTCTGGGGGAAGTACACCTAACAAACTTGGAACCCTAATTTTTGTTGGTCAGTCAATTTCAACTATCCTTGTTTGTTTGCTAATTACAAGCAATGCTCCCCGATACTACATTACCAGTGCTCTTGCATTGAAGTGCCTTTTAAAATTAAAAATGGAGAACTGGCCCACTGGATAATTCATTTTATGCATGAGGGATTTCTTTAGACAGAACATTTCCCCTTCTTTCACCAGTCAGATTTTTTAAAAAAAGTATATTGCCTAATAGCAAATATTGTTAAACACATATTAGAAGCAAGCTGTTTTCCCCATGTGGTGAAAAGTAAACCATGTATTGAAGTTTACCACTGTTATGACTGTAGTCCTGGATTCTGCAGTAGATTCTTTTTGAAGACCCACTTGAGCTGTTGCAGCAGAATAACTTAGGTTTAAGCTTGATGTACTATTGAGAAATAACGAATAAACAGTTGGTTCCCCAAAAAATAAAATTTTACAGTATGTGTACTTTAAAAAATACAGAAACATTCACAGAAGTCTCATTGATTTTAATGGACCTTACTCCCATAAAAATGTGTATAGGATTGAAAGCTCTGTATCTTAAATGTTATGGTTCACCTCCTGTAATATTCCTGCTGCTTTACTACTGGTCCCCAAACATATGCTTATTGATTTCTATTTTTCTATCTACTTTTTAACATTTGTCTTTTTTCTTGTGTCTTTAATCTTTCTTTTTTGTGCTGCCAAGGTAGGTTCAGCAGAGAAAGGAGACAACAGCTACTGCTGAAATGTCGATCAATTGGTAGACTGTGTAGATATGTGTGTGGAATATATGAGAGATAAAAATACAGGGTTGTGCGAGAGAATGAAGCAGAAATGGACGCGCACAAATTGCACAAGTCCAAGCTGCACAACCGTGTGTATCTGCAGATCCCCTTTTATAAATGGCAAGGCACACGTGCCACAACATGCGTCTTGAATTTATGACCACATTACATGTGCACCAGTCGTGCACACGCAGCTTCATTCTAGTCCAGCCATTCTTGCCCACCCTCGACTGAGAGGGGACGGATATGCTTCTCTCTCCTCCCCACCCACCTCCTTTGGCTTAAGGTTTGAATAGTTTGCATCCTGCCTGGCCGGGCATCTCTGTGTAACTTGACTCACAGCTCCAGCCCAGGAGGCAGGGCGGGTGTCGTCTTTCTTTCCTCTGCTGGCCCGCGGCCAGGCTTGGCTGGTTTTCCAAGCCTCGCTGACTGGCCTACTTCTCCAGGCCAAGCTCGACCAGATCAATCTGCGCAAGTCCGGCCCCTTCACCTATTGTGTCCGAGCGTGTGCGCCCCCTCAGCCAGTCTTTACAATAAAAAGTAGCACGTAGGGGGAGTGAGCAAGAGCCAGTCCTTTGTGCCTCCATCACTGCTTCAAGCAAATGAGTTTCCTTGCGACCTCGGTTTGGTATTGTGGGCCCAGTAATGGGCTGGTGGCGGGAGGTAAGTGCTTCAATTCAAAGCAGTGGGTTGCAACGAGGTACGTGTGGCAGCAGGGAAACTGGGTGCATAAATGAGGTGCTTGTAGTTGTGACAAGCTTATTTCCCACATGGAGAGAATAGTGCACAAAGGAGCGTTCAGACGTCTGTAGGCCCACAGGCCGAGCTCCAGGCATGGAGGCTGATTAGGCTACCCACGGCACCCTCAATGTGTGAGCCCCCGTCAGTCGTTGTAAGCTCATTTAGGCTGTGCAGTGGCCCTTACAACAACAGCACTGCCACCATTAAGCCCAGAGCTAGGAGGGCAAAGGGGGTAGCCTCCCCAGCACAGATTTTACCATTCTTTTATTGCTGCTGTGTGTGTGTGAATGGCATGCTGGGTGGGTGGGTGGGTGGCAGCCCCCTTCACTTCCTCCCAGTAAGCCTGTTTCCTTGCAGATTGGATCAACATGTAGGCGAAAATATTAGTTGTTGTTGTTAGTCGCGAAGTAAGTCGTGTCCGACCCATCGCAACCCCATGGACAACATTCCTCCAGGCCTTCCTGTCCTCCACCATCCCCCGGAGTCCACTCAAGCTCACAGAAACTGCTTCAGTGACTCCATCTAGCCACCTCATCCTCTGCCGTCCCCTTCTTCTTTTGCCATCAATTGTTCCCAGCATTAGACTCTTCTCCAGGGAGTCCTTCCTTCTCATTAGGTGGCCAAAATACTTGAGTTTCATCTTCAGTATCTGGCCTTCTAAAGAGCAGTCAGGATCTCCTCTAGGACTGACCAGTTTGATCGCCTTGTGGTCCAACGGACTCGCAGGAGTCTCCTCCAGCACCACAATTCAAAGGCCTCAATCCTTTTGCGCTCAGCCTTCCTTATGGTCCAGCTTTCACAGCCATACATTGCAACTGGGAAAACCATAGCCTTGACTATACGCAGTTTTGTTGGCAGGGTGATGTCCCTGCTTTTTAGTATGCTGTCTAGATTTGCCATAGCTTTCCTCCCCAGGAGCAAGCGTTTTTTAATTTCTTGGCTGCACTCCCCATCTGCAGTGATCTTGGAGCCCAGGAAAATAAAATCTGTCACTACCTCCATTTCTTTCCCATCTATTTGCCAGGAAGTGAGAGGACCGGATGCCATGATCTTAGTTTTCTTAATGTTGAGTTTCATGCCAACTTTTGCACTCTCTTCCTTCACCCACATCAAGAGGCTCTTTAGTTCCTCTTCACTTTCTGCCATGAGAGTGGTATCATCTGCATATCTGAGGTTGTGGATACTTCTCCCAGCAGTCTTAATTCCAACTAGTGATTCATCTAGCCCCACCTTTCTCATGATGTGCTCTGAATATAAGTTAAATAGGCAGGGCGACAGTATACAGCCTTGCTGAACTCCTTTCTCAATTTTGAACCAATCATTGGTTCCGTGTCCAGTTCTCCCTGTTGCTTCTTGACCCGCATATAGGTTTCTCAAGAGACAAATAAGATGGTCTGGTACTCCCATCTCTTTAAGAACTTGCCACAGTTTGTTGTGATCCACACAATCAAAGGCTTTAGCATAGTCAATGAAGCAGATGTTTTTTCTGGAACTCCCTAGCTTTCTCCATGATCCAGCATATGTTGGCAATTTGATCTCTAGTTCCTCTCCCTCTTTGAAATCCTGCCTGTACTTCTGGTAGTTCTCGGTCCACATACTGCTGGAGCTTGTGGGATTTTGAGCATAACTTCGCTAGCATGTGAAATGAGTGCAATGGTGCGGTAGTTTGAACATTCTTTGGCATTGCCCTTCTTTGGGATTGGAATGTAAACTGACCTTTTCCAATCCTGTGGCCACTGCTGAGTTTTCCAAATTTGTTGGCATATTGAGTGTAGCACTTTTACTGCATCGTCTTTTAAGATTTTGAATAGCTCAGCTGGAATACTGTAACCTCCACTAACTTTGTTGTTGCTCAGACTTCCTAAGGCTCATTTGACTTCACATTCCAGGATGTCTGGCTCGAGGTCAGTGACCACCCCATCATGGTTATCAGGGACGTGAAGCTCTTTCTTGTATAGTTCTTCTGTGTAATCTTGCCATCTCTTCTTAATCTCTTCTGCCTCGGTTAGGTCCCTGCCATTTTGGTCCTTTGTCATGCCCATCTTTGCATGAAACATTCCCTTCATATCTCCAATTTTCTTGAAGAGATCTCTGGTCCTCCCAGTTTTCTTCTATTTCTTTGCACTGTTCATTTAAGAAGGCATTCTTATCTCTTCTAGTTATTCTCTGGAATTCTGCATTCAATTGGGTGTATCTTTCTCTTTCTCCCTTGCCTTTCACTTCCCTTCTTTCCTCAGCTATTTGTAAAGCTTCCTCAGACAGCCATTTTGCTTTCTTGCATTTCTTTTTCTTTGGGATGGCTTTAATTGCTACCTCTTGTACAGTGTTGCGAACCACCATCCATAGTTCTTCAGGCACTCTATCAGATCTAATTCCTTAAATCTATTAATCACCTCTACTGTATATTCATCAGGGATATGATTTAGGTCATACCTGAGTGGCCTAGTGCTTTCCCCTACTTTCTTCAATTTAAGCCTAAATTTTGCAACCAGAAGCTCATGATCTGAGCCACAGTCAGCTCCTGGTCCAGTTTTTACTGACTGTATAGAGCTTCTCCATCTTTGGCTGCAGAGCACATAGTCAGTCTGATTTCTGTGTTGACCGTCTGGGGATGTCCATGTGTAGAGTTGTCTCTTGGGTTGTTGGAAAAGAGTGTTTGCTATGACCATCGTATTCTCTTGACAAAACTCTGCCAGCCTTTGCCCTGCTTCATTTTGTACTCCAAGGCCAAACTTGCCTGTTATTCTGGTTATCTTTTGGCTTCCTATTTTAGCATTCCAATCCCCCATGATGATAAGGACATCATTTTTTGGTGTTAATTCTAGAAGGTGTTGTTGGCCTTCATAGAACTGGTCAACTTCAGCCTCTTTAGCACCAGTGGTTGGGGCATAGACTTGAACTATTGTGATGTTGAATGGTTTTCCTTGGATTTGAACTGAGATCATTCTGTCATTTTGGAGGTTGTATCCCAGTGCTGCTTTTCCTACTCCTTTATTGACTATGAAGGCTACTCCATTTCTTCTGAGGGAGTCTTGCCCGCAGTAGTATACCTGATGGTCATCTGAATTAAATTCCCCCATTCCTGTCCATTTTAGTTCACTGATTCCTAAGATGTCGATGTTCAGTCTTGTCATCTCTTGTTTGACCACATCCAGCTTGCCTTGATTCATGGGTCTTACATTCCAGGTTCCTATGGAGTATAGAGCTTTGCAGCATCGGACTCTCCTTTCACCACCAGATACATCTGCAACTGAATGTCCTTTCGGCTTTGACCCAGTCGCTTCATTCTTTCTGGCATTACTAGTACTAGCCCTCCGCTCTTCCCCAGTAGCATATTGGACACCTCCCGACCTGAGGGGCTCATCTTCCGGCATCTTATCTTTTTGCCTTTTGGTACTGTCCATGGGGTTTTCATGGCAAGGATACTGGAGTGGGTTGCCATTTCCTTCTCCAGTGGATCACGTTTTGTCAGAGCTCTCTGCTATGATCTGTCCCTCTTGGGTGGCCCTGCACAGCATAAGTCATAGCTTCATTGAGCTACGCAAGCCCCTTTGCCACGACAAGGCAGTGATCCATGAAGGAGTGAAAATATATGGAGGGATACAATTCCCCATCAGTCCAGGGATGGTGGGAGTTGCAGGTCAAGGCATCCGGAGGGCTGTAGAAGGATAGCACCCAGCTTCTCCCCTTTGCTCATGAATGAGCTGGCTTAGCTCAGCAATGATACTGTCATCTCGTGAGCATGAGGGGGAGGTTATTGGCCAGAGATGCATCTCCACTCCCACCACCAGGGTGTGTGCATGTGCACATGGGAAAGTTGCAGGACTCTGCTGCATAGTGTGGCAAATAGCCTGGTATGCTGGACGCCAAGACCAGGTTTGCAAACCCACCTATCCAAATTTCTCTCTCTCCGGAGAGAATCAGGATGAATTAGGCACCCATATGAATGAGGGTAAAAAAGGAAAACACTTAAGGTCACTTGCTGCTTAATAAACTCCAATCCTATTCCTGTTAAACTTACTTTTCCAAGAAGTAAAATATAAGGGTTCATGACCTAAGTACATGTTTTGTTAGAGCACCAGAACAGCAGATTTCCCCACAACCATTTTCATCAGCTGCATGAGATGCTGCAGGATGGATTTAATCCATTGCTGTGGAAGGCCCAGACAGAGAGGACCTTGGAATCAGGCATCGAGACAACTTTATTGCCTTTCCCTTAAGAAGCAAACAATAGACAACTCCTGACTGTATATAGGCATATACCTACGCCAAGTGCCATCTCGTGACTAAACTATATGATTGCACTATCCATGTTTCTGTTGTAAAAGAATGGAATCAAACAATGGGGTGATAGGTTCCTGTTCTCATTTTAGAAGAGTGGAAGAATGGCATTGTATTAAAACATCTGATTTAGAAATGGATGGAATCTTGATTATTCCTGTTCCTCTGACACACTGGCCTTTGTATTGGGAAAACACCTGCCTATTATCTTACTCCACGGAACATAAAGCATTGTAATTTCAAGAATAAGACACCTGTGCATATTTTCTATATAGCACCATCACTGTAGGTGGCACTTTTCTGAGGTACTCACAATCTTAAATTGGCCAATGTGAGAGTTACGCTATTAGCCAAAGTGTGCCGGGCTGATGAAGGAAGATGTTGGCAACCAAGGGGATGCAGAAGCAGTCCATTTTAAATGATATACTTTTGAGGGGGCAGGAACAGAATAGTACTGTTGGGACAGCTGTTACTTTGGATTTTTCACCTCTGGACAGCCTTTCTTGCAGGTGTATTTTGCCCTTCCGAAGAGTGCAGAGTGAGGTATCATCCAGACAACAGTGTTGAAAAGTAGACCCAGATTACACATGCCATCACTCCATTACTACCACCCCTTGATTTTCTCAGGATTCTTGGAGGGCTTCCACTGAGTCTTAGGCCTGTAGTGGCAACATGACCTGAATTTGGGCTTATTGAAAGGAGTTTGTTGCAACCATTAGAAAATCAGCATGCTGAGGGTGGGGAGGGGCAATTACTGTTGCATTATTTTAATCTCCCTCCTCTCAGAGGCCTGAACCTTCGTTCCAAGCCAGAGCTGCTGCAGGTTCTAGAGAATCGGAACCGGCGCCGAGATGGGATGGAAAGTGACTTGGAACAATCACCCCTGGAGCAGGAGCTTCTGCGTTGGCAGCAGAGACGAAAGCAGGTATGGTGTGTGCAGCTGTCATTATGGATCCCCATTTTTTTCTGCTGGCCAGCAGTTTCTTGGGGGGGGGTGGAAAAACATGTCTTGCACATGAACCCTTCGGAAATGCTTCAAATGAGCACTCTTTTTTTGTCTGCAGCAGCATCAGCAGGAAGCCACAAGCAATGCTGTTGGGAACCAGCCAGAGTTCATTCGGGTACGGGAAAACCTACGAAAGACACATAACACACAAGACCCCCCACCCCAACGTAAAGCTCCTTCCCCAACAGCAAGCCCCTTCCTGCGCCCTCATCTGACCAGCAGACAGCCCTCAAAGGCCCCAGCCACACACTTTGCTGTGGTCCCTCAGGCCAAAGAACCACAACATCAGGGTTCCCTAGAAACCACTGGATTCCCTCCAGCCCCTTCTCAGGGTCCCCTTGCAAATACGTGACCTTTCCATACAGACAGCACATGCCCAACTTGACCACAGATAGCTCACAACACTCTCGTGTTCCAGATCTAGAGAAGGAACTCCAGAGGAGCCTTAAATCCCTGTATCCTCTCACAATCTGTCGAGTCCCTCTGCTCTCAAGAGCTGGATTAACCAAAAGGGGAGAAGGAACTGGGGTGGTCTGGTTGAGGCCGCATTTCTCCTGCTTATTGGTCTGTCAGAAAAATAAAAATAATAAAGCATAAGCAGTAAGACTTCTGGTATCTTGTTACCGACAGCTAGAGAAAAAGTCTTCTTCCTTTTGATCTGAGAGAAGGAATATTAGAGGAACATTATGTAGAATATTAGCATCCAAGGAAGTTAAATGATAGAACAGACATACTGTTTAAAAAAGAGGAATCATGGGGTTTATTTGAGATTTAATACATTTCGATGTTTTTAAAAATAAGCTGATAGGATACATATGCCCTCTCCCTCATTTTTCTCTTCCTGCCCCCTCCTGAGAAAAAGCTACCCATACCCCTGATTTTAAAGAAGCTGCAAAAACAGCAGATAAAAATGCCCAATGTTTGCTGATTTAAGGGATGGGTGGAAGGTCTGAGATTTGGAGAGAGGAGCGGCGAGCTGCCATGATTCAGGGAAGCTGGTAGAAACTCCTCTGTTCTGGACCATTCCACTTTTGGGTTACCCCCCCCCCAAAAAAAGAGGAAGGCACTTAGTGGTGACCCTATATAAACATTCCAGGCTTTTGGAGAGCCAGTCTAGGAGTAAGATATGGCCAAAGTCAAGCCTTCACTGTTTAAAATATTTTAGAAAGGGGTTGTCATCAGCATTGCCCTGTAGGAAGAAGTAGGTGAAGGCCAGGAAGCCAGTGAGCAGTGCAAAGAGCAGGAGCTGGGGCCAGAGGGGCAGGTAACGCTTGCCCTCCGCATTTCTGTCTGACACATCTGCTGCTTGGGCCTGGCGCTCAGGATGAATGGCACGGCGGGGCTCCACCCCTAGAGAGGAGAAGCCAGAGGATTTCCCATGGAAAATGCTCTGGTAGGAACTGCTGTCCCTGCAAGGGAATTTCAGAGTAGAAAGGAAATTCTTGGTATAACTATATTCTTTCACAAGAGGTCAGCAAGAGCCTTGGCCCACCCTATGCTCTACATAAAATTAAGCCTCATACAGCCCACATCTGAACCTAACCTTGTGTTGTTTCTTTAATTACATCTTATGGCATAAAGGCTAGTATACTGGTATCATAGGGGGATGCCGGTGGCACAGTACACTGGTATCATAAGGCATCATCAATTCTCCAAAGTCTAGTCATGCCCAGTTTTCAACTACTTGGTCCAGTTCTGGAAGATGACACTGCTCTATTTGTTTTCACATGAAGATGCAAGGGGCTGACTGACTGGATACGTCCTTCCTTCTCCCTTTCAACAAAGCCAGCCCAAGAGGACACTTCCTGTTATTTCCAAGGAAATGCAGGTCATGGCCCCATGGCTAGGCTGAACTAGAAGTGGTTAAGGAGTGTTGCTGCTCTTTTTAAGAAGCGTCCCGCTACAGCACTGAGAAAACAGATGATTTGGGGGGCAGGGGGCAGGTATTAAATGAACCTATCCTCAGACAGACCTGTCCTCTCCTACTAATTGGCGTGAGGCACAAAGTCCACTGTTTAATGACACTGCATTGCCATACAAATGTTAATCGTAGGTCTCAAAATCCACTGTCTGAGTTTGCAGCCTTAACTTGGGGTGTGGAAACTGAGGCCTTCCTGAGCCCTTTGGGGTGCACTAGATGGCCAGACCCATTCTGGCATGTCACCAGGCTTGTCCTTTCCACCCAAATGGGCTGGCAGTCTCCCACCTTTTGTACTTTATCTTCCCCATTTTAAAAGGTTTAAAGCTTCTAAGGCTAAGTTGCTGACAATAAAAGCTTTAGCTGAAATATGCCTGCCTTTTTGTATGTTGTCCCCGCTTCCTTTTGCCTCCGGCTCCACTGGAACTCAGTCCCCAAGAGCATCTCTGAAATGAATTTTACTCCTCAGCTGAAAATGGTTCAGCACACCCTGCATTCACGTGTGGTAAGGTGGCCCCCAAGCCCATCTACTCCCCTGTTCACCAGCCTAGTCCTGTGACCACCTTTACATTTAGCACTGGAATTGTTTTGGGACCCAGAAGCCAATGGGAGCCCCAAGAACTCCTCTGAGCACCAAGCCTTATGGGAAAAAAAACTTCTCCCAACTGGAAGCGGCACCCATTTATCCTAGAGTCAGGGGAAAATAAGCTTCAGCCAGGGCATCTAGGATGGGCCACATTTGCCTTAGGAAGTGGTCTTGCAACCTGCTCCACCATCCACTCTCAGGAATACTCTTTCCCCTCAATGTTCCAACATTGTCCTTGTTTACCTCTTGGTTGGCACATCCATCTGGCCAGAACTGTAAGGAAATGGCTCTCCAATCTGAAAGGAAACAGGAGTGCCTGTCAGTATAGGGTCAGTGATGGAGGGATTCTTTGAATGTGCTATCTCTGGACGAGGGAAAGCACTTACTGGCCGCCGGGCGCTCACTGATCCTGGTGATGTATCAGTGTCAAAGGAGGACACATACCGACGGTAGGAAGATGTAGAAGCCTCAGAAGAATTGCCATCCCAGTCTAGGTGGAAAGAGAGAGAAAGCCATTAAGGTTGGGATGCTCTAGAGAGCCTTCCTGGAGGTGACAAACCCAGCTGGTGCTGGAATGTACTGCTTTAGAGAGTGCTGCTATAGCTCTACCCGATGGGAACTCAAAGGTTCATATTCCCACACTGAGTTTCTGTTTTGTTATACCTTCTGGCGCATATGTGGAGTGTTCTTCATGGTGAGTCAAGCCGTAATTATGACCCAGGTAGGACTTGGTGGGACTGAGATCTAGGGAAGCACAAAAAAAAGAGGGAAAGATATTTAGCAAAAAGTCCCCCTCTTTGTAATAATTTTAGCTTTTATTATTTTAAAAGTATTATGTTTCTAACATTCATGGCAACTTGCCCATTCCTTCTGACCATGAGATACATCTTCCAGTTCATCCTAACTTGTGACAGACTATGATTATGTGTACCACATTTCCACAGAAGCACTGAAATTGGTACAGGGAGCAGAATTTAGCTCCCTAGTAATCCTAAACTTTATAGCAAATATCTAGCCATTGTGACTGCAAAACCTATTTGAAAGTGAATGTATCACTGTCTGGGGAAATCTCAGAATTCAGAACAGAACTGCTGTGGCAATGCAGAGTATCCGCAGAATATCAGTATGACTCTGCCCATTTTTGGTGCAATAATAACAGAAGAAACTACAAAATAATGAAATATGTGCAAATAGATTTGATTGGTATAGTTCATAGAATACAGAATAATGTATCTGTTCATGGTACAGAACATTGATTTTGGCAGTGTAGGCAGAGGGTGTGTCTCCTCAATCACAATTAAACCTGATGTCAAGGCAGCTCAAATCCAGCAAATCAAACCCTCCATCCAGATCCTGCAAAAGTGAGTTGTGCTTATTCCCATCAAAATCCTCTGCAAAGGAAGCTCACACTAAGTCCCATGAATTTTAATGGACATTCAAGCGCTTTCTCTAAGCATGAGTTTTTTGTTCTTAGGTTTGGGACTCAATGTTTTGCACAGCTGTGCAAAATATTAAATCAAACTGAAAAAATAGACCACTTGATTTGTTTTGAGTTCTCATGACACACCAAAGAGCCATGAAATATGCTTTCTCACAGAATAGACATCCCCTGCCCTTGTGGTCCATCCCATGCTCCAGCACTTGTCCTTTGCCCCACAATCGTCCTCTCTTCTGCCAAAGGGCCCACACACACATACACAAACCCACCTACCTTCACTTCTATACTCAGTGTAATATTCATCCTCTCTTGGAGAGTCATAGTTTTCTCTTAAATAAGTCCTTGTGGAGCCAAGAGCTGGAACAGGCAGAACAAATTGGAGAGCTTGATAGGAAATTATTCTTTATTTCTTCTCACCCCCACCAGCACTCTACAAATAACAATACACACACCATTGTCCTGCTTTAGCCTTCTACCTGCAATGTACCTTTATTCAATCTAACAGAGCTGTCCTCCTTGCTTCTGCCTTATCCAAAGCAATTCAATACAGGACTTCTCTCTGAAATATCTCTCACCTTCACGCCCATAGCTGAAATCATCTCTGCTCCGTGGGCTCAGAAAGGTCTCTCGTGTGTAGCTTTCACTGCTGCTTGGCTCTGTGTTGGCAAAAACAGAGCAAGAAAGGATGTTGGTGTCTGACAGAGCACTGTCCATACGTACCTTGTTTGTGCCAGATTCTTCTCACCTGTATAGGACATTGATCCTCCAGGTGAAGAGAGCTGTGTTCGCTCAGTCTCATATTCATAGACTTTCTTTTCATACAGTTTTCGGGTTGATCCTGAAGGTTGAAATCCAGACTGGAGGTTAAAACTAAGCTTATGGGACTATGGTCCCCCAAACCTTTCCACAAGCCATTCAACCTTCCACCAGTTATTAATCCCCCACCTTTTACTCAGAGCTGCCATGCTTCTTTCAAGTGGTTGCCACCTTCCAACCTTCTTTAGCCACCCTTTGCTGCTACAGGATCACCCACACCTTTGAAGAAGGCATGCCAAATGCTTCATTCCTCAACAAGGCCTGCAGCCCATGAGGTGGCTGCTTATTTCGAACTGGTATCAGTTCCACAGCTCTGTGCAGCCCTCTTTTTGCACCATTCCCAGAGTCTCCTAACGTCCCTTCTCATCCACAGGCCAAGCCGGACATGATGGAGGTGGCCACATTGCCTATTCAGGCTTTTCCCTCACACACCTTTGCAGCAGGGGATAGGTGGGTCTTACTTTTAAGAGGGGGGCTTGGTCGGGAGAACTGACTTCTGCCACAGCTTATCTCCCCATGCGCTGCAGGTCAGACAGCTTTCTGTACAGCTGGCTCACCTCTAGCATCGGAGGTGAGGAAGTGTAGGAACTAAGGCAGGGAATGGGGAGGATCTTAGCTTTGCTTACCTAGTTGCCCCTCTTGCTATTAAAGCCAGTTCCTCTCCATGACACGTTATATATGAATTAGGGAATAGGCCTGCTTTTGCATAGACTGGCTAGTCCTTCGACTAATGCAGTGAGGCCTTCAAGCAAACATACACTGCTGTTCAGAGCTGGCCACACTTCAGTCAAGCAACACCTGCAGGCATGCCATAGGTATGACACCTGCCATGGTGCACCCTACAGCCCATTGAGGGAGGGGGTGTTCATGCCATCCCCCAGGGATGCCCCTGCCCTGCCCCACAACAGGAGGAAGGGGGCAGGCATCTAACTCTTTGCCTCAGCCTACTATGAGGGAAATTTCTCAGGCTTAGTTGGAGAAGTCTGCCCCGAGTGTTCTTGCATGCTTCAACAGCACAGACATGTATGAATTAATGCATTTTTAAAACAAAGTAACTCCATGGTGCACGCCCCCAGGGTCCCTTTAGTGCACATGCATACTTGGGTGCCTGTGTTTCATGATCTTGGAACAATGGTCCAGAGCACAAGCACACACACATGTGTGCGTGCGCACGCACACACATGCGCGCACACACACACACCCTTTTCCTTATAGATTATCATTCTGACGTCTTTCTGCGCCTGCTGCTTTCTTCTTTCTAAATGCCAGATGGATCTCTACTTGCTTCCCCTGACAGAGCCAGATGTTGCAGTCCTTACCAACAACAGGGCCATGTGGAATTCTGTATTTCTTCAGACGAGCAATAAGTTCTTTATCTGTTAAACCTTTATATTCATCCATAGTGCCACCTAGAAAATGCAGTGATAAGGACAGAGGCAATAGTTACAGCCAGGACTCTTTGGAACATGTTAAACAAACAGATATTGAAATATGTTTTTAAACTAAGTAAATCATTTCATGAGTCTCACAAACTAAAACATCAGTAACTAAAACTAATAACTTTGAAAGCAAATGAAAGCTGGTAAGCAGAGAAACCTACAGGTTCCCTTCAAAATGTTTCTGATAGGAAATGATTTCATCATAGTGAAATGAGCAAAATAAAATCAGGCCTTCGTCAAGCCAGGTCAATATGGAGGAAATAACAGGCAGGAAAATAAAAACAGGGTCTACTTAGGAGTAAATCCCACTGAACTCATTCCAAGGATTGCTCTTGTCCATTTGGTTACAAAGAGAAGGAGGCACACAGGGGAAGAGACTAGAGCACAAATGTGCAAGACAAAAACACTTTTTGCTCTGTTGTCCCATGGAGCCCTTCATAGGAGAGTGGCCCTAAACTAAAAAACCATTGTCTCATCTACAGCCTGTATGTTTAACCCTTGCAGTGTACAGTGGCAACCGATTATGGCTGTGCTGGGCAGGGCAGGGCAGGGCACTAGATACAATTCAACCCAAAGCAGTTTGTTGACATAGCCAGAACTTCACATGGGTTGTTCAAGCCTAGCCATGTAATTTCCCTGCCAATTCATGGGAGAGAGAAGACTGCCTTTCCGCTTGATCTTGCCAATCATTTTTCTTTTCATAAAAGGAAACCTCTACAGCAACTTGAGAAGGTATTCTGAGAATTCAAATTCATAATCTCTCTGCAGATAACAGACAACACATTAAGCAGACACTTTCAGTCCTTGGACTTTACCATAACTTCTAATCCTATCACTGGTTCCAATGTTTCCAATTACATATTTAAAGTTATTTTAATAAGCTACTGCATTCATGCAGCAATTAGTTTTGCTGGAGACTTCCACTGCAGCATTTTCTATGGGATGGAGGGTTGTTGCAACAAAGCAAGGCAGCCTAAATTTGCAGATAGCACAAGCATCCTATATTTGGGAAGCTTATTAACACCTGATGTGGGATTAAAAAACACTGGCCATGTAAGATAGAACTGAACTGTGTGATAAGTTGTAATTCAGCAGTTTCAAGCTGGATTCTCCGGTGGAAGTCAGAACTTTTCTGAAGTTCTGAATCAAGTAGGTTTTATCTAAATCCCATTGCAGGGCTAATCACCTTATCTCTGTGTTATCATTCCTGTTCTGTGGGTGGCTACTGCATTTATTTTACAGATATGTAGGTTTAACATACATCTAAACTGTCACATGTTTTGCATTTCATTTCCCTCTAACCTTATTGCTTATATTTTCCCTTTGCACATATAGATCTATCCTGTGCTATCAAAGTGGAATACAGCAATTCCTGTTCCCTCTGCAGTGCTCTATATATCTCCTATAACTGTTGCAGAGGCCCAGAAAATCTTCTGGAGCAGACTTTGAGGCTGCACGGAGGGCTACAGGAGGGAGGAGACAGGGAGAAAATCCTGTTTTGCTAGTGGACAACCACTAGCATGACACTGAATTCAACCAAATACGTATATGAAATATGAACCAGCAGAGAGCTCTGGCTATTGGACAGCATAGAAGTGAAATGAATAAAGTACACTCCTGCCAATTTAGGACAATATCTAATGCATCTGATAAAAATGACTCTAGGCAGTGAAAGCTTATACCATAATAAATGCCACAAAATTCATTGTTGTTTTTGCTGGATGGTGACTTTGGCAAAGGGTAGGTGAGCAGGTCAAAAGCCTATGACCCAACACACACATGTTCTAAAGGACACGGTGCTGCCTCATTTGTCTCTCAATTATACCACTAAATCAGGAAGTCTGCTTTAGCTGGGTTGTCATGGATTGCCAGTCTTACATAGTATATCGCATAGGCAGGGAGACTGTCCACATTCTGAAGTTATTTAAGGAGAATTTATCATCAGCATGTGTGTCAGGGCTTTTATTTAACCTGTCAAATTCAGTTCTCTCTGTTACTAAGCATTGCCCCTAAAACCAGGAGTAGTAGCCAAGTTAGATTAGGTCAATTTAACAGTGTATTCTTGCCCTTAGAACCACACCATTTAGCCAGTACTGATGAAATGATGAAGGCAAACTATATGAGGCCTAACAGCTATCCAACTTTAAAACAAAAACACCTAATGCAAATAAATTTCCTCCAATTAGCTTCAAAACTAGACAAATCTCCCAATTTATGAGAATTAGGTGATATCAACACAGAATGAAATTCATAAATACTGTGTGTTTTTGTATACAACTGAGTAACAGGATTCATACAACAAAGACTTGTGCAGCAAAATGAGTCATCTTGCACTAAACCAATGTTTATTTTGAGAAAAAACCTATGTTAAAAGTCACCCCTTCTACATCCAGAAAAATTTAAAATTCGTAACTCTCAGATTCAGTTTTCAGGCACTGCTCCTGCACAGGGTCCAACAAAGTTTTAAGTCTGTTTTATCTAATAGTTTTGCCTATTGGAAAAAAGTGTGATATTTATACAGTCCTTTTGACTATTGGGGAAAAAAACTTTTGAAATATGTATACGTCATATGAAATTAACATGGCATTTAGGTCTGTTTCATAAATATGTCAAATAAAGATACTAAATCAGATCTTAAACTAGATACTTCTCCTGATTCAAAATTTTCCAGAAAATAACTTGAAGAAAGCCTTCCAGCTGTTATTACACCCAAGTGGATGTACTTGAAATTGTATTCACAAGATTCAAGGTATACCTCTTTGAAGGACAAATGTTTTTGCTAATGTTTAAATGCCTATGGAAGTGGAGATCTGAATGAAATTCTCACATTTGCCTTGTTCCTGATAGATGGGGCTGTCTTTGGCTCTGTTGAATTTCCCCCTTGTGCGTCCTGCCCCCACAGGCACAAAGGGGACATCCCATACTCTTCTTTCAACATGGCAGTCTCTCAGATGGGTAAATATTTGATACATGTCTCTCATGCTATTTTAGACCACTTTTAGGGGTAAACCCCTTTTGAAAAAAGATATAAAATATACAAAAAAGCAATAAATGCACAACAAAATACTGTAAAACGTGAAATTTGCAATTGCAATCTGCATTTCCCAGTGCTAAACAAAAATTTTAAAAGATTAGAGTAACGTTTTTTCAATTACTGCAAACCATTTATGCAGAATGGGAAGGAGGAGTTAAGTGCTAGATAATTTAGGACAAAGGTACTTTTTTTTAAATTTGGCATCCGTTAAAAATTTGAGAGCTAAAAAGATATTGTCCTTATGAATCAACACTGCCATATAGGTTTCAACTGGAATAAGCTGCATGCAGTCAAACCCTCAATTAACCAATTACATATGGTTGCTCTGAACTGAAATGCAGCTGTCTGTAGCACCCAGGAGTAGGGAGAAGCAGGTACACACTTACAACTACAAGACCCATACCTCTAGAGTAGGAAAGGGACAAGGAAAAACTGAAGCAATACTTCCCTAAGAAAACTAGGTTTTTAAGCATTTCGGATAGGAAGCTGCGAGCAGGCTACCGACTTGAGATTGTTTTCAAGGGGAAAAAAAACCCTGCTGGGGCTCAAGTCCCAATAGGGCCCCCTGATCTTCTTGCAGGAATGCAAATACAGAAGGGAAGCCGGCTGAGGGAGGAGCAGAAAGTTGACAGCTGCCAATTTTTCAAAAGGAACTGGAGGGACGCTTCCTTCGACTCTGCCGCGGGAAAGAGAACAAAACCGCAAGAGATATGCTCGGGACAGCACAGCTAGACAGTAGGAGAGCACAGGCAGACACGACACGCCTTTCAAGATGTGTGTTTACGCGGAGAACCGTAAACATTTCGCTCTGCGAAAGGAGCAAGGCTACACAGCACGCCACTAGACACGTGGTTCATGCCCTGGCTTAAAATGTAGCCCCAGCGCGGGTGTTGATTTTTAGCCGCCTGATTTGGCTCGGGGGCCTCCAACTGCTAAGCTCTACTATAGTCAAACCTCAGGACACTTCTCCCCGCGCCATCCTATACGGATGCTTTTCGCGTTGCCCACAGAAGTCGTTCTGATTTTTTTCCGGCATCCCTCCAGCCTCAGTGTGGCGAGAGGTCGGACCTGGCTTGGGGGATCAAGCAGGACTTTGGAGGGAGCGGGGAGCGATGCTCCCCAACGCCGACCGAGCGAAAGCCGTTCAGGCAGCTGGGGGCGCGGGGGATGCGACCGAGCCGAGGGGCCCCCAGAAGGCGCGGAGGGGGTGGGGAAGGGAGCAGGGAAAGGGATCTGAATTCGATACCTGCTATTCCGGGCGCACTGGGCTGGGCACCGTAAGGGAAGGCAGCACCATAAGGGAAGTGACTCAGGCTGCGGGGAGGGCCGGGGGTTTGGGAGCGCAGATCCGCGCACCCTCCTCCTCCGGACCCCGCCCGAGCTCGGGGCGGGCCTCATTTCCTCGCGCGCTCTGGGCCGCTTGGCCTCGGCCAATTTCAAACCTGTCTTACTGGCAGGGCCACTGAACAAAGCCGCGACGTCGGCCAAGCCCGGGAAGGCGAGCCTGATCACGCGGGGGCGGCGGGCGAAGCCCCCGGCTCGGCCCCGCGCTCCCGGCGCGCCACTCTCACGGGCGCGTCTGGCCCCACAGCCCTGTTTCTGTACATGCCGCCGCGTTTACATGCGCAAAGCCGGGCTCCCGATGCGCGCGTCGCTCCCGGAGCGCTTGCTCGACTTTTACCGCCAAGTGAAAGCAAGGGTCGGTACCCGTGTTTATTTCGAAAAGGAAATTTTGCTAAATAGAGTGGAACAAACTCCCCCAAGTGCGCTAACAAGAGGGCGCGTGCATTTTGCGATGCCACTGCTTAATCTACGCCACACGGTGGGTGTGCGGAGTCTCAAACAAATGTATGCAAAAATGCTCGTAGAAATGCAGACATAGTAATCCTCGCACTTTATGTATATATCTTCATACATACATACGACATACTTGAATTAATTACCAGCTGGCCGAACAATTTAAAAGTGTTTTAGGATGCAATCCTATACATGTTTAGGCAACAAAAGTATCCTACAAGTTCCAGCGAGCCCCAGGTAGGGTGATGTCTGAGGAATGCTGGGGGAAGCTTTCTCTTCCGTCTAAACATGGATTCTGTGCTTAACTGTGGCTGCATCATGATGTAATTTTTGTGTGTAGTCATCACACCCCCATCTCTCTCACACACTTGTCATATCATTTAACAACATCTGTGGACCTCCTGTGGCAGATGCAGAAACTGGCTCAAGGACACTTGGATGGCTGCAGTTGAAAATTAGACTGGGTTCCCTCCCAGTAATTAGGATGAGGAAAACCCAAACCTTCTTCCCATGAAAATGGTTGTCCAGGAAAAGACCTGCCAAAGCTGCTTCTGCACTGGGACAAGAGGAAGGAGCAATTATCCCAAATTCAGAGCTTGATATCCACTGTCACTTCTTCTGAAGACAAGCAAATGTGGTGGGGAAAGGTGGCACTTTCCAGAATTTGATGGATTGCCACTCCCATCAGCCTGACCAGCATAGCCACGGGGGGGGGGGGGGGATGCAGGCCAAAACAATGGGAAGATCCCAAATTGTCCACTGCTGAGCTATGTCTGCTCTATTTTTTACTCTAGAGTCAGCACAGCTTCCCCAATCCCTATTCTGTCTCAGATATGTTTTTAAAGTAGTAACAGTTTTGGAGGCAAACCACTTTCTAGTTCCATAACTGTGTGTCACTGAGAACACCAAAATGTACCTTGATACTGCCAAAGATTGGGGCAGACTTTGGTTGCTCAGTGTGATGGCCATAAATGCCATGGGGTGGACCTCACGCTCAAATTAGTGTCTTGCCAGGAGGCAAGCTGTTCTTCTATTTGGGTCCAGAAACAAGAGGTACACCACTGGATGGAGATTAAATTTAATAACTTTAACTGGTACCAAACAAGGGCAAGGTCCTTGAGCGGGTGGTGGACAGCCATCTGCAAGCACCCTTGGATGAGACTTGAGTATCTGGATCAATTTCAGTTGACATTCAGGCCAGGTTTTGGCACAGAAACAGTGTTGTTTGCCCTGTATGATGACCTATGCTGGGAGAGAGACAGGTGGAATGTGACTCTGTTGGTATTTCTAGATCTCTCAGCAGCTTTTGATACCATTGATCATGGTGTCTTTCTGAGGTGGCTGGTTGAGTTAGGAGTATGGAGTACTGCACTGTAGCAGCTCCACTCCTACCTAGATGGTGGCACTTAGGGGATATTGTTCAGCTCTTTGGACTCCCCAGTGTGGAGTCCCTTAGGGAGGCTGTGCTAACATCTACCTTAGAGTCTTCCAGAGTGTTGGAGTGTGTTCTCTTCAATAGACTGATGACACGCAGCTCTATTTCTTCTGTCATCTTCATCAGGCAAGGCCATGGATGTGCTAAACTGGTGCCTGGCTGCGACAATGGACTGGATGAGCGCTAACAAACAGAAGCTCCATCCAGACAAGGCTGAGATGCTGTTAGTGGGTGGTTTGTCTAACCAGATGAAGGGAATTCAACGTGTTCTGGCTGGGGTCACACTCCCCTTGAAGCAGTAGATTGATAGCTTGGGGGTGCTCCCAGGTGGCCTCAGTGATAAGGAGTTCCTTCCACCAGCTCCAGCTGGTGGCCCAGCTATACTAGTATACTCTGGTAATTTCTACATTAAATTACTTCACCAGGGCATTGCAGTAATTCGCCCTTGAAGAATGTTCAGAAGCTGCTGCTTGTACAAAATGTAACAGCAAGATTAGTATCAGGGACCAGAGGGCACATTAATTCTGGCCTGCTTGCATTGGCGGCCTGTATGCTTTCAAGCTCGTTTTAACAACATTTTTTCTGACCTTTTTATTTCATCAATATTTTAATAAGTTTTAATATTGTATTATTTTACTATTATAGTTTAACCGCAGCCAGAGTGGGGCGACAATTTATTTATGTTGATATTTGTATTCTATTTATGTAAGCCGTCCTGAGGCTTTTGCAATAGGACGGTATATAAATATCCTAAATAAATAAATAAACAACATAGCTTGGGCCCATAATGCCTGCCAGAATGTCTTTCCCAGCCACAAACTACTCATATGCTATGATCAAGAACTGGGGCCTGCTCTGATTGCCACCTGAGCAAGGTTCAGTTGGTGGCAATAAGGAAAAGAGTTACCCTTCCCCAGTTATGGAACATGCTTCCCATGGAAGCCCACCTGGGAACAACCTTGACATCTGTTCAGCACCAATTTAAGACTGTGTTCTATAGCAGGGCATTTCATTAGTTTTCTATTATATTGTGGTATTGTCAACTGCTCAACAGGTCTCATGGTTTATTCTGCGTATGCTAAGAGCATAAGCCATGTCCATTACTCCATACTTGCAGTAGCAAATCAGCCACCCACAGGATCCCTTAAGCAGGATGGTGCAAGACCTCCTCCTGCCCAGGCTCCTCAGCAACTGGAATATATAGGCAGGACACCTCTGGTAAAAGGGGTAGCACATGACCAACATGGATAGCTCCGCCCTCCTGAATCTGTCCAATCCCCTTTTAAAGCCATCCAGCCTGGCAGCCATCACCATTTTCCTTGACAGTGAAGTTCATAGTCTTACTGAGTGAAGAAGTACTTCCTTTTATCTGTCCTAAACTTCCCACCAATCAGCTTCATGGAATGGCCCTGTGTTTGAGTGTTATGGGAGAGGAAGAAAAATGTCTCCCTCTCTACTTTCTCTATGCCATGCATCATTTTAAACACCTCTGTCATGTCTTCCCTCACTCATCTTTTTTTCTAAGCTAAAAAGGCTTTTAAAAAGTTTAAATTTGCTTTTCAAAAGTTGCATTTTATGATGTTTCACTGAACTGTATTTTATTGTATTCGTATCATATTTGATCTGTTTGTTTTGAATTATCCAGAGCACATTGGCTATGGGACAGTACAGAAATATAATTAATAATAATGAAACAGTTTATTGCCAAAGCTGAGTATATTATATTATTAGTTATAAGAAACCAAAAGGGTCTAACATACAATATTGTTGAGCAGAGCTGTCCAATTCTTTCTACCACCAGAAACCCAGGAAGATGGCCTGTGTGAGGCTCCTACAAATTCTGTCTCTAGATTCATCACCGATGATGCTCCCAGGATTTACATACTTGCAGTCCCTGAAGGCTAAGGTGTTCTCATAATTAAAAGCCCCCATTTTTGAAGGTCAGTTTTTCAGCCCAGTGGCTGAAATAAGTTGCAGTAAATGGACAGTGGCCAGTGTCATAGGGACCCTCCCACATTCCAAGATAATGGATCCCTTTGCCAAGCATGTAATAAGACACAACACCTGCAAATTGTTCAGCCTTTATGCCATGGGATCCCTACCAAAAGATGCAGTGTGGAAGAAACATTTTGTGTCATGTGACCTGTCTCCTTCCAATGCCACTGTCCTCCAGTGCTGTTTCCCATACAGCATGGGGACAGTGATGGCATCATTGGTCTTACCATTTAAGTAGGGCTGCAATATTTAACCTGTGGCAGGCAGATTAGGACCTACTGGTAGATCTTTGGGTGATTTGCACCTGATCAGTGAGAATTCTTGATTCCCAGTGGTTTAAGAGTAGAGGCAAAAAGGCCTTTACTTCATCCTAAATCAAGGTTGCTGAAATCAAAAAAGCTTGAGTTCCAGAACTGAAAACAAATTCCTGGCACTTTGTTCCTCAATACTATATCCAAGTTCCCGAGTCACTGTTTTGTACCTCTGGGATTTAGCAAAAACCGAAATAGATCCAGTAAGCCTGAAATATTTCTTCTTTCATCAGGGTTAGCAAACAACAAACACTCACAAACCAAACATATCAAGAATGCAGAAACAGTTTTGAAGCAGGGCATGCTGGTGGAGTGGGAGAGCTACTTCAGACATGGCCATATAAATAGAGTTGTACAGAAGCCCAGGGTCTAAAATTACCCAACCACACCACTGACTTCATGGCATCCTTCCAGGATATAAGCCATCAGGAGCTCAAATGGGCCAAATCCCTCTTTCTCTTCCTGCCTTCTCGTTCCCTTTCAAGTGAGATCCTCAACAGTCCATAAGCCTGGACATTCACTGATCCTTGTTAAGCACTTGGAAGACAGACACACATTCCTTTTGCTTTTAAATTACAGGTAAATGTACTGTGAATTTTCACAGGTGAGTAGGAACAATTACTTTGTTTTCTGACCTGTTTCACTGCCAAACAGGCATACAGGACCCTCCAGGCTCAGGATTGTTAGAGGGACAGCCCCATCCTGTGTGAAAGCAAAAGAAGAAATGCTGGTGCCCACTGGGCCATGTACTCACTTACACCCATCTTAGTCCTGGTGAGGCTAAGTCCAGAGTAGGGTTGGAAGACAGCAGGTCCAGCAAGAGGCCTCTAGCTGATGGGGAGAGCAGCTGGGGTGCAGGCAGGGGCTGTTTGTTTGGTCCAGGAGCAGAAGCCATGGATCAGCTAGTCAGAGTAGTGAGAGACAGGCTCTCCTGTGTGCAGGCAGCGTGTTCTGATGTCCCTCTAGGTCCACTGCAGCACTTTCCTCTCCATAGGGCTGGCTACCCTTCCTAGACTCCACCCACTTCCTGATATACCAAAGGCCTGAAAAGGGCAGTCCTCAGGCAGGCAGCCTCTCTCGGGGGTCTTGCCCAGCGTGTGGCCTGCATTGGTGAGCAGACCCAGGGGAGGGTCAAAGGTGCTGGCTCCTCACAGGAAGCTGACATTGACGTTAGCTGTCTTTGGGGTCGTGGCCTGGGATGCCCAGTCCAGAAGGGCTTGTGGTTGCTGAGTTCAGGCAAGAGTTGGGGTCCTACGCAGTGTCACTCCAGCCTGCACCACTGCTTCCAGCCCAGCTGCCCCCTTTACTCCATGGCCATACTTCCAGTCCTTGCTTGTGAATGGGGTCTCCACACCATATAGGAAGAAAGGAAGTTTTCTTTCTTTTCAGTAGCAGAGTTTTATCATATTCAGATCTTGGGTGACTAAATTGACTGGTCCATCAATTAAAACTGATTTGATTAATTGACCAAGGTTTTTTATTCAGGTGACCACCTTACAATTAAGTAAGATTAAGTATTTTATAATGCAGTTATATAATCTCAGTTGTCAAAAGGTCATGTACAGCGTTATCTCTTTCCCTGAATATTCCCCAAATAGCAATGCAAAAACACTCTTGAGCTTTTGCCAATGGGAAGTGAGGGGTGGGGTACGAGGGAAAGTGTTCCACAAATGGCATTAAAGCTATTCCAATGTCTGCAGGCAGAGATTCACACTAAGGGGGCTCCTGGACCCAAAAATATTACTTGAGGTCCAGGTAGACTCAGTGACCAGGAGTGCCTTCTTTCAGCTACAGTTAATTTACCAACTGCTGCCCTACCTGGACAGGCAGAGCCCAGGCACAGTCACCTGCTCTACAGGGGGCTGCCTTTAAAACTCTGGAAACATCAACTGGTATAAAATAGGATGGTGCAGTTGCAGGTGCAGGCTAGTCCACACACCCATGTTACTCCAATATTATGTCAGCTGTATTCGCTGCCAGTTTCACTCCAAGCCCACTTTAAAGTGATTGTTTTAACATATAAAGCCATCAACTGGTTCAGAATTGGGTTGGTGCTACCTTGCAGGCTCATATGATGCCAGTTATTTACAATCGGTGTTGATTACCAGTTGTGGCCTGGGCCCAGTTTAAAGTGCTTCTTTTGGCATAAAAAGCTCAAAACAACTTAGGACCCAGCTACTTAAAGGACCACTTCTCCCATATACCCACCTGACTACTGAGATCTGGGCAGGCGGTCCTTCTAAAGGAGCCATCCCTGAAAGAGGTGAAAAGGATGGCAAATAGAAGGAGGACCTTCTCAGGGGCTGCACCCTACTTGTGAAATCAGCTCCCCAGAGGAATGTGCCTGACACTGACATTACTCAGCAAAATATCTCTCTTCTATGTATTTGAACAATGAAATTTAATAATAAAATTTAACAACTGATTTTAATGTTTGTAATAATGTGTCATTTTATGGTTGTCCCCCCAGTGAGAACATATAAAGTCCTATTTATTTACTGCTGTTTTGATGGTAGCTCATTTTTTAATGGAATTGTTTTTATTTGTTTTATTGTTTGAATGGGGGTGTAATTTTAAATGCTGTGAGCTGCCCAGAGTCTCCAGAGGGGGTGGGAGACAAATGCCTAATTAATTAATTAATTAATTAATTAATAAGCAGCTTGGAACCTGGATACCTGAAGGACGGCCTCCTCCCATATGTATCGGCCTGCCTCCTAAGATAGGGTTTGGAGGGCCTCGTGGAAGAGTCATCCTCCAAGGAGGTGAGGAGGGTGACAAATAGAAGGGCCTTCTCACTCATTGTGCCACATCCACAGAAAGTCCTCCCCGGAGCAGTTCACCTTGTCCCTTCATTGCAATTTTTTCAGCGCCAGGCAAAAACAGTGCTATTTTCCTGACATTTTAATAATGGATTTTTACTGTATCCAGTTTTAAAAATGCAATTTTAATGCAGTTTTATTATTTTAATTCACCTGTTATTGTTATATTGCTATGTTGCTGTTGTACTGGTTTTATGCATTTTATTTTTGTATTATCTGTTGTGTTGTAAACCACTTAGAGAGTCCTTTCAGGGGACTATTAGTGCAGTACACAAGTTTAATAATAAAAAATACATAAATGATAGATACACTGTACAGAATACCTTAATTTTTTTGCTTCTGTTTTATTTTAATTCAGAAATTGCCTAGAGAATCCTTATGGACTAATGGACAACATAAAAATATTAGAATAATAAATAAAGGAATGTCAACCGTTCCCTGTACAGGCTTGGCTGTTCAGTTTGGGTGAATAAACCCAGCTACTTGGAAAAACCAGGGTCTAAGCATCTAATTAAGAAAGGACTCACATGTTTTGACCCTACAGCACCAATATAAACCTTCCAGTAGAGCAGTGTTCCCCAACTTGGTACTCCCCAGCTGGACTACAACTCCTATCTTCCCCAGGCTACATGGTGACTGGCTGTGGATAGTGGTGGTAACAACTTGTCCAAAAATCTAAATAGACATGCATTCAAATCACACACACATATGCTGTGAACCCAAATAAAGATGGAGGGCAGTGCTCTGCTGTTCAGCAAGCCAGCCTCTCAGTTATGTTTTAATTTAAAAAAACTGTACAAAATAAAATAAAAATCAAATGGAGTGGGAAGCATGCTGGGCACCAGGAAACCCCAGTGCTAGAAGCTGGGTCCTTGGAAACACAGGGGCAGTTTAAGCACCCACAAAGAACAGTGACAGGATTGGAAGAAGTGCCACTACCGGGAATGTGTGTTGTTGCAGAAAATGTTGGTATTAAATGGTGGCCAAAGCAAATTAGATTAGATTCAACAAAAAATATTCCATTTCTTCTAAGAGCAGCTACACGAGACTTGAACTGGATCAGGACCATGGTATGAGAGAAAAGGTGTTTAATACAATTTCCCCTATCTTAATCAGTTCCCCACCATCCTCAACAGTTATTTGCCCCATTAGGGAAAACACAAATACCCATATGTTGTTGTTTTTTTTTTTAATGGGAAAACTAACAGGAGGGAAAAGCAGTTAGATCAGGGAAAGGTGCGGGGGTAGAGAGGGAGGAGAGAGAGAGAGAAGGGTAAATACCCCCTTTCCAAATAGCATGATCCTGACTGAATTCAGGGACACTTGCAATCACTTTTAGGATAGGAGATGTGATCACGGATCTCTGAGGTCTTGCCTAGTTTGTTCCTAAGATTCAAAAGGAAAAAGGATAAAGTGGTGAAAGTGAATCTACCCATTTGAAATGTTGATGAAGGCACTGGATAAAAGGACAGGTCTGAAGTAGAACAGTGATCCTGCTGAATTTGGGAGGAATGGTCTTCTGAATCAATGTATTTTGGACCATGCAACTCCCCCCCCACACACACAGAACTGCAGAAGCCAATAAGAGAGAGATGGTGACATTGTCATTCAAGTAGACTCCTAAAAGATTAATTCAAGAACAAATAGGTGATAAGACTCAATGAAGGCAGAGAGCAAACCACAGGCATGATTTTATGACCATGTTAAAAGTAGTAAATCAAAGCGTGCATATTTGTTCATTTAAATTTATTATATTGTTTTAAACTATTGTTGCTTAGGACTCTGGCTTGGGCAGAGGTGGAATGGCCCAACCATATTTGAAGAGCTGTTACAAGACCATATCAAGGTGGCTTGGAGAGAGTTAGATTAGGGTGAAATAGAAAAGAAAGACACAGAAAAATAAAAATAAGTTTAGAGCCTCATGTAAACTTATTTACTGTTAGTAACATTTTATAGGGATTATAAAAGAGTACCGACAGGGTAACTCTCCATTTTTGCCAGCTTTCTCTCACCTGGGCATGCTGCTGAACTCCTGGCTGCAGACTGCTTCCCATATTCTTGCCTTTTCTCATATTCATTGATTTTATTTTCATAAAGTTTCCGGGTTGATGCTGTAGGATGGAATCCAGACAAGTGGTTAAACACAAGGAAGGTTGTTGGAAATGAATGAAGCCATTGTTTTTGGTGTGTGTTCCTTATTTTAAAAAATAACATCCAAGTTCTTTGAAAACAATTATTTCAGCATCTTTGATGGGTTGGAAATAGAATTATTTACCTGTCTATCCCTGAGAAATGGGGGAAAATAGCTACCTCAATTTTTTGGGAAGCTCCCTAGCACAAGGTAAAAAATAGTATTTTTATTCCTTCAGCCTGCTTCTAGCAGCATGGTGATGTTGGCCAATATTATTAATCTCATTTTGGAGGTGGTGAATAGGCATATCCGATCTGCACCTCTAGGTAGGATTGCTGGTCTTAGTTCTTAGATGCATCCTGTACACTTGCGCTTGCAGAGCAATAAAATTTCCACTAGGTGGCGTGTCTATCTTCCTTGCAAATCTTGCCCTCCCTAGCAGTATGTCAGCTCCTAGTCATGAATTTATCTCATTCCCAAAGAAAGCTTCAGTACATTTGCTTCCATGCAAAGACTATGCAAATACTGCAAACTACTTGGCAACCAGTTGTTTTAGCAGAACAACAGCTTTGAAAGGAGGAAAGACAGACAGACTGACAGGCAGCCACGGACCTGGACAGATCTAATTTGGCTCTAGACAAGGGTGGTTCTGGACAAGCAGCAGGGAGTGCCAGTACTTCTCTCCTGTATAGTTTTCCACATTTAAGGACAAAGAGGAATCCTCGGGGGGCACTGTGAATCCAGAAAGGGGTGCAAAGTGAATGGTCCCCACTGCATCCTCAAGTACCTGCTGTTAACACATTTTTAAAATAAAAAATATGAGAGATTCTTTTAATGAATCCTCAGCATCAGGTTTCTTCCTGAGACACTTTCAAGTCTCAAGACAAAGCAGCAGGGCAGGGTTTTGTATGTATTATAAGATATATGAACATGAGGACTGCCCCGCTGAACCGTGGGGCCTAGCCTGTGGGCCAAATGTGACCCCCTGGTCCTCCAAACTCTCCCCAGGGCAAGCTCCCCTCAAAGTCCCTCCTTGGACTTTTGCTCTATTCTGCTTTGTTCTCTCATTGCAGTGTTGAAGGAGGAGGCCTTGCACAGGCTGGGGAAGGAGAATGCCTGGACATGAACGTCTGAACCAGCACCCTTCTCTCTGTAATCTGGGTGCTTGGCCACTGAGCTATGAACCTGACACAGCACAGGCCCAAGCTAACTTACCCCATGAGTAAAACTAGACTAAACGTTCTCTGTACCTGGGCCACAGTTTTCAGCAACAAGTACTCCACATTAACAAAAGGGGCTTACACTGTTGCACAATTTTCCTACCTATTATTTGATAAGGTAGCTTGTGAACAAATATTTGCCCTGTTGGTGTGGCTCAGAGCTCTAAATACAGTGAAACATTACTTCTGCCTTCCAAATAAAAGCCTTCTGCCCCCAGTCATTCTGATTGTTCAACAGTCCCCCTGAATCCTGCTAAAGGGCCTCCTCCCTTACCTTCTTTCCCATGTTTCTTGGTGAGTCAAAGGTTTACCTTAAACAGGTTCTTGTAGATTTGAGAGAGATGGGAAGGTGGGAAAGCAGCATTTACTGAGTAAAGTTTGGGTCTGTGTAGGCAAAAGCATGGAGAAGTGCCCAATGGGGTAACTCTCCATTTTTGCCAGCTTTCTCTCACCTGGGCATGCTGCTGAACTCCTGGCTGCAGACTGCTTCCCATATTCTTGCCTTTTCTCATATTCATTGATTTTATTTTCATAAAGTTTCCGGGTTGATGCTGTAGAATGGAATCCAGACAAGTGGTTAAACAGAAGGAAGGTTGTTGGGAATGAATGAAGCCATTGTTTTTGGTGTGTGTTTCAGGGCCAGGGTCACTTGGAGGGGAGAACTGGGAAATGAGAGCCCCAGAGGGAGAGATAGCAGTGGTGGAACCGCTTGTCTCAAGGCCACCCCCTCCAGGTGTTCAGGCAGACCCTGGGATCAGCCTGGGAGGGGGCCCGAGACAGGAGCCCCAGGAGACAGACAAGCCCGGTTTGATCCTTGGTCCCACAGTACAGCATCAGGAGAGAAGAGCTAGCCAACGGGGGGGGGGGGGGGGGGGGGGGGGGGGGGGGGCTGCATGCAGCTAGGAGGCCTGCCCAGTGCCAGAAGAGCCCTCCCAGAGGGGTGGTGTCCAGGGTTACACAAAAGGATGTTTCTCAAAAGTTGTTTCTAGTTTGGGTTCAATGAGTTTGAACTGTAGTTTGGCTCTATGCATGCCCACAGACTCTTTCTTCACTGATTATAATTTGCAGGATGTACACTGGGAAATAAAAAGCTTTTGCCAAAGAACAGTCTGTTGTTCTGAAAGTGAGAAGGGGGACACCTAGCTCCTGACAAAGGTATACAGACCCCTGATCCTTTCAATAGACTCCTTACCCTCCCACCATCCACCCCGAGCATCCTTCCTGGGTGATCCCAGCTGTGTTCACCTGCCTTCCTTCTTTCAAACACTGGCCACTTTCCAAAAGCCACCTTCCCTGGGCACTCACTGCTGCCCCAAATGCAGGTTCCCTCCTTCACGTTCAACAACAGCCAAAGGAGTGTCTGTTGATGTCCTATCAACATGGAGCTGTTTCGCATGGTGCTGTTTACTTCCTGCCCTTCTGGCCCTTGCATTCTGAGGCTCCCGTCCTGCCTGCCACCTGGAGTTTTTCTGCCTGCCATACCGCTTTCTGGGAACTGAGTAGCTCAGCCACAGGCAGCCAGAGTTTCATCCGCCTTCCAGGGCATGCAGTATCCTTCTGACACATTTATATCCTCTCCTTGCCTTGGGGCCTACCTTTATCTTCACAGCAGCCCTCTGAGGCAGGATGAGAAAACTGGACTTCCAGAAGCATTTTTTTGGCCATCCCAGCTGTATAAGGATCAGAGCCTAGGTTTCCCAGCATACAAGGCCAGCATTTGGTTTTCTGCCCCTCACTGACTCTCATTTAGGCTCAATCAACCAGCAGTGGCTGGCAGCTCCAATGTTAGTGGGATGGCATATCCACATCAAGCCGAACTTCAAAGGAGCTATCCATGGTTCTGAAACTATTTTGGAGGGGATGGGTTTCAGAACCATGGATAATTAAAAATTCAGATGGAAATCTGGAGTGAATGTGCGGCCCCCTGACATTAGAGCTTCCACTGCAGTCCATGTTCTGTCCTGAATGTTTTGTGTGGGTACCTGCGTCTGCTGCTGTGACTGCCATCCTGTAAAGGGCAGGCAGGCCTGTGCTTTTATGATGCTCTGGGCACAGGCTGGTTTTCCCTTCCTTACTCCATTCCCAAGCTCCAAAGTGTCTATTTGCTCCCACCCTGTACATTATCACCTTAGTCCATACCAACAATGGGTCCATGTGGGATCTTGTACTTTCTCAAGTGGGCAAGGAGTTCATCATCTGCCATGCCTCCTGTGAACTTGCCCAGGGTGCTTCCTAGAAGTGCAGAGGGAACAGAGTTTTGCTGTCATTTAGAGGATGGACTTCAGGCACAAGGTTAAATGCAATAATTTTCTCTCCTAGGAGTCTTGCCAATGCTTAAGGCAAAAAACTAAACCCAAAACCAAACCCCTTTTACGATTTCATCATTGAAAAAGCAGTAGCTTTAACTTCTGATAGACTTCTATTAAGGGTCCTGATGAAGAGACTGGAAATGGGCATTCCAGATGGGAGGGCCCATGCCTTTTCCTTCTCCTATCAGAAATGTTAGAATTACAGTCCCCAACTGCTGTGAAAGTTAACTTCACTTAAGCCAATTAAAAGCAATGAAGCAAGTGCAATCCCATTATAATTAGTTTTTCTAACTGACGTTCCAAGAAGTAACTGATTTTAAAGCAATGCTAATCCTTCTCTGGATCAGCACCTCAGTCTTCAGGGTAGAATATTCAAAATTACCGTAAATATTCAAAATACCAAAGCTGCTCACTTTTCTTGATGCATCTGTTGCCAGCAGATAAAAAAATCTCCTGCCCCTCACTGCCTCCCAATGTCCCAGGACTGGGCTTTATGGGTCCCTCACAGCCCCACTCCTTTCTTCAGAATCCTCCAGTATTACCTTCAATACTTAGGGTTTCTTGGGGAGCCGATTTCCATTTTGAGCGAAACCTCTAATCTTCTCACATATGGCTGAAGATTCCCCTGGCTCCGTGGACTCACAACAGTTGCTTGACAAATTAAGTTTTGGTTTCTGATTGGCTCTTTGTGCTCAGAGACATGTGGAAGGCAAGCAGTTAGTGCCCAATGGGGACCCCATTCTCTATTTATGCCTGATTCTTCTTACCTGTACAGGTTGCTGAACCACTTTGAACAGGGTGTCGCTGTCCATGCTTTTTCTCATATTTGTTGATCTTCTTTTCATAAAGTTTCCTGGTTGATCCTGTTTAATGAAATTAAGTTAAGTGTGTTGGGGTTGCCCTAATAAAAACTATAAATTCTATACTTTGGAATATAGAAAGCTTTGCCTCTTTCCCTCCCTCCCCTCTGCCAATCTGCAGGGTTTTTCCATTGAGATTCCTTCTATGGGAAAAAGAGCCCTGGGGTCCCAAGAGATGCACTGGAAAATTGCTCTCAATGCGGAACACAGCCAGCAGGGGGATGATACCATGCAACTAGTCTGAATAGTCAAAGAGTGGGCCAGCTCATCATTGTCTTCCTGCAATTTCCTACCTCAGTCTGTAAAAAGCAAACGTTGAAACCTGTTCAATTCTGTAACTCCTGATTCCTTTATTTGTTACTGAACTGTCAAGATGCTTTCCCAATGTTTCTCAATGTTTCTGTATTTTCCTTTTTTGCTTCTACTGTTCTTGTATATTGCTCATTCAAGGTCTCATTCCCCTCCCTCTCATGCGAACATGACTGCAAGTCCATAAAACACTCTGAAGATGCTCTGATCCACATAGTCAGTCTTAACTGCTACCCCTTCAGCGCTGTTGTAATTTAGGGATTTCTGTTTGCTGTAAATAAAACTGCTGAGTGATTGACTGTATGCTTCCACTGAACCCAAGTATTCATCCCAAGCAGGTCTGGAATCCTGACAGTGGTTGCATGCAAGCCAAGTGAAATGTATATTCATAACCAGATTCTTTCCCAGCATGTTGGACTACTAGTCCCCTAATCTCCTGACTTGATCAGAGATTATGAAAGTTGCATCCAGTGCATGTAGAAAGCAACAGGTTGGGGAAGAGTGCGGACTAATTCTTTCCTTTTGGCACCCATGCTTGGCCTTCCCAGCTACACCTGCCTGACTTATATCTTCTTTCAAACTCTTTATTTTCCAAATCCCTGTTCACCTCACAACTTACCCTACCCAATTTCCACTATCCTAAGATTATGCAAATGTTTGGAGAAAAGCACAGCAAAACAAAAACGAGGGGGGAAACGCATTTAGCTTCAGCAAAATACGACAACTACTTATTTCAAATAAATTGCACTCCTCACTTTTGCAGCTCAGTCACTGGACACCCATTTTTTCATTTTATTTGTATGGTTGCCCTTTTATGCATGACAATGAAGGAATCTACTTTTTATACCCAAACAAGGAGATAAATGGCAAAAAGTCACCCCTCTCCCGATGCTACTTTTCTCTTTATCACAGCTTGCTTTGGGTTTTAAAGTTGCTCTAGCCAAAACAAACCTAAAACAATCAAACTTCTACTATGGGAAGGCAGGCTGGGCCTCAGCCACGCACTGCTTTTGTTGTAAACAATGTAGTAGTCATTCCTCACCACCTGCTTTAAATGTGAGTAGTACAGCTGACAGCTGAATAAAAATACTGTATTTTTGAAGGAGCTCCTCACGGTCCATCTCTGCCCTTCACTTTCCTTGAGCCACTCCCTGTCCAAGGTCAAATCCCAGGTCCATCCCCCCTGAAAGAGTGGGTGGATTGGCCGCCTTTTTAGGCCTCTGCCTACTGCTTCCTACTGGTGTTCTTTGGCACTTCCTTTCCCTAAGGAAAGGGATGGGAATGGAGATACGTAGTCTTCCAGATGCCACTGAACTCCTCAATCCCAGCCAGCATGAAGAGTGGTTAGGAATAAGAACAAAAGAGCCCTGTTGCATCAGATCAAGACTCTGTGCACATGTGGCCAACCAGCTGTTTCTTGGAAGCCTACAAGCCAGACTTGAGTGCGGAAGCAGATACATGCTAGGCCCATGTATCCTGGCGTATTAAGGCAAGATGGCAAGCTTAGCAGGATGTGCAGACCAAGCAAGCATGTTGCTAAGAATCCTTTCTGTGAAAAATCACTCCTCGTTTGTCCTTAAATTTCAACCTTCAGGAAGTGAACATGTAAAAATGCAAACCCCCAGGCAACCTGCTCCTTGATGGTTCATGATTGGGCGGGAAGGTTGCTGAACCAAGCAACCAGCATAAGAAGGGATAACTCTGCAATGCTCTAAGTATCTGTCAAAACATCACCGACTTTTAGAGAGTCTGAATAGCATGTGGCTTTCATCAACAGTACAGGCACCTGCCAAGGGCCTGCACTTCAGTAAGGGCTCATTGATGAAAATGCCCTGGAGCTGCCTATTTTCCTCACCATTCACCCTGCTTATCCAGCTGCCTTTTGCTCTGGCCTGGAGAACAAGAGTGATGAGGAGGAGGAGCCGGAGATGCTGCAGCCTCCTTGCCCCCTCCCTCTCCGCCTTTCAAACAAGCAGGTGGTAGTGGTGATGAGAGAGATGGTGGCAAGTAGAGCAGCTGGTGAACCTGGTGGTCAGAAGGCAGGCTCATTGTGGGTGGGGGTCCATGGAGGGGCTCTCCGAAACCTAGAGCCTGCCTGACCCCTCTGTTCTTCCTTCACTGTCCTGGCTTGCTCCATCCTACACGTTTAGTATTGATAGACCAGCTACCCCACTGCTGCTGTTGCTGCTGCTTCCTCAAACTTTTTTCCTTTGTGTTTCTGGTTTCTCCACTTTTCTTTGGTCTGGAATGTACGAATTAACACTGTCAATGCAACCAGAGCAGGATTTCATAGCAGAGTGTACTGTGCATTTGAGCTTCTCTCGAATGGTCTGCTTCTGCCCTGTGAGTCTTGCTGCTCTGTCTTTTGGGGTGCCACCAGTGAAGGTGTCCTCTGTGCCTTTTGCATGACCTCCATGGTGGGACTTCTCTCACAAAGTAGTTCTCCAAGAAATGTCACAGCTTGAGAACCCAGGCTTCGCTCATCCCCTCTTTTCAGAAGTACTGGCTTCCTTGAGGATCCTGAATCTCTGCTTGCAGTCCTGCTCCTCCAAATCCCCATGGGCTCTCAAAGCCCCCATGAACGTTTGTGCCTCTGGGGAATGGGGGATAAAATCTTCAGAGTGCATCAGTGAGTACGTGAGTGAGTGAGTGAATGGTAGTTTGTTTGACTGTGATTATTTTTCATATTCACCACAGAAAACTTTGTTTGTCCTACAGTAAGCAGATAAGCTGCCCTTCAGACATGACCTAAATTAGAAGATCAGGGTTCAAATGGGAGACAGGAGCAAGCAAAGGGAACACCAGGGCCTGGCCGAGTTGGACTACCTCTCCTGAGGGAGATGAGAGGGGAGGTAGGCCCATTCCAGCAGTCTATTTACTCTTCTCTCTCCATTTCATTTTCTCTGTGCACTCTGTCCATTTAGATTGTGAACCAGCAGCCAGGGACTTGGCTTTTTGCTACTGGATTTAAAAAGGCTCCTAGAGCAGCTTGCACTGTACAAATATCCTTAAGAATAGGTAAATGGGCAGGGCAGGCCTTACCATGAGGTAGGGTGAATCAGGCAGTGCGTCCAGTGTGACTCCCCAAAGGACTCCCAATACTGCCACTGTTTGCTGCTCAATACAAGGCATGGCCCTTTATAATCCAAGCCTTTTTTTACACAGTTTGGAGGAGGCGTGGGGGAGGCACGTGAGAATAAAACAAAAGGGTTGAATGGCATTAAGGCAACACAATACAGAAAGACGCTTCAGGACAGGTAAACAATTATACCTGTGTACCTGAGCAGGGCAGGCAAGCATTGGCATTTCTAAGGTGTAAGTTGCAACATGGATTCCTGATCAGATCAGGAATCCCATCTTAAGTCTAAAGCTGCTCTTACAGTGCCAGGCTTTTAGCAGCCATATGATGGCAGAGCTTTCCCTCATTTTGTCTTGACACTTCTTACCAACAATGGGCCCATGTGGGATCTGGTATTTCTTCAAGCAGGCAATGAGTTCATCATCTGTCAAATCTTTTGCCATGATGTAACCTAAAAAGTGCAGTGGAGACACAGTTATAGCCAGTGCTTGTTTTCCCCTGACCTGGAGGAAACAACTGAATACACTGGTCACTTTGCATAAATGCCATGCCAAATAAAAATTCTAGACCACAACAAGTCATGTGACAGGAAAGTGAGTCCACAACAAGCCAAACTGCTCTCTTTTCCCTGCAAAGAATGGCTCTACTGGATGAAGTAAGCAGAACATCGTCAGGCTCTCAGTAAATCGGCTATACATAAAGGAAGAATTCAGGCAAGGCAACAAAAATAAAGTCTGACATCCATACCAGAGTGTGATCTGAGGCAGAAACAACCACCCCCACCCCCACTTTTATGTCCACCACACGAGAGAGAGAGAGAGAGAGAGAGAGAGAGAGAGAGAGAGAGAGAGAGAGAGAGAGAGAGAGATGGGTATACAAAACAGGGGCAGGCTGGTTCCAAAGGCAGCATTTATGTTTAATGTTTACTATTGTCGTGGCTGTTAGGCGTGGGTTTATGTAAGGAAGACATTCATTATAATGAAGTAATAGTAAACATTACTATTTTCACTCTTCTCAAGTGAAAAACAAGCCTGTTGTTATTCAGTATGCACCACCTAACAGACAAAAAAGATACACCAGCTATTGGCACTATTGTATCATAATTTTTCGCACTCCCTATGCATTTCCTTGAAGCTTTATCTAGCCATGTGGCAGCCCTGTCTAAGGAGGGAGGCTAGCTATGTTTCCACCTCTTCCCTGTAACTTACCCATTTTGTGTCTGCACTATGGAATATTTACTGCCCATACAGGGAGGAATGCAACTTGGTTCTTGGTTGTGCTCCACAATAGGTTCAAGTGAGCAGCTTTGTCAGAGGTCGAAGGTTCGTCAAGAGAGTGGTGAGACAGGAGCAGCATCCTGCCTCACCCACAAAGCGGTCTGTTGCCAGATCTCATTGCCACATTGCTCGCTCACCCATGCCCTGCTTTTGTCTTAAGATCAGGTGGCAAATTTTGCTCTGGAGCCACTGAGGATGACTCGAAGATGATCAAATACTTTCAGATTTTTTTTCAGTTTTGTTTTTGAATCAATCTTTGTTCTAATCAAGAGCTTCTGGGGTGACGCTCTTCTTTTTTCAACCTTTCTTTGGAATTCAGAGCTGTTGCAGTGGAAGGTGAAGGCACTGGAACCATTCTGATGAAGAGTCCAAAAGAATGGAAAAGACTGGTGCTATGCAGGCAGAAGAACCCAAGGGATGTGTGACTCTTCTCTGGAAGCGCTTAGGACAGTGTGCCCCGACCTGGCGCTCTCCACTTGATGGGCTTGGGGACACAGGTCCTTCCTCACAGGCAGTACTCCATAGAAGAAAGAGGAATACAGTAGCCTGTTCCCTAAATAATCACACCTATTTCGACTTGCCTGAAGTTGTTTCTGCAAGATTCAGACTGTACCTTGTGGACCAGGAGCTAATGTTTCTTGTTTGTGCTGTGATTAAATATCTTACTGTACAAATTTAGGATCAGTTAAGCATGATAAGGGCAAAAGTTATCCAAAGCAATGTAAAGTCTTGAGTGGGCGAGTAGCAATGTGGGACAGGAGGACAGGTCCCTGTTTCATCTTGGCTTCATTCGATTTCAGGTGCTTTTTCTCTATTAATTCTCTTCTCTGCTCTTAAATACTCATATCCTGGGCTGGTCTTTTGAATGACTGGGCAAAAACAGCCTCTAAATAACCCAATGTCTAAAGAAAAGGAACCTGGTATAACTTTAAAAAATGAAAACAAAATGGCATTCCTTCATACCATGCAGACCCTAACCATGTTATAGTAGGGTAGCTACTCCCACATTATTAAAGGAAAAAAAACCCAAGGACAAACAAAGACAGAGATTCTCATAAAGTTTGTGTATGCTAACAGAATTATATTGATGCAAATTTGACAATCACTATAATTGAACAAAAATATGATCTGGAAACAATAAGCACAATTGTGGGTAAAGATTAAATAGTGTTATTAGCAGACTATAGAAAAGAGCTCATAAAGACAAGGTAGGTTGAGAGCAAAAGGCTTTACATCCTGTCTGCAGTTGGAAACTGCTCAAAAAACAATGGGTAGACTTCTGGCTGGCATACAGCACCTTCTGTAGCTGGGTTTGTGTTGAAGTACTACTCTTGGGAAGATTCTTGAACCTCATAGAATGTTTCTGGTGTTTACCATAATCATACCTGCTCTCATGAAACTAAACAAAATTAGTATGTTTTGCATGTAACTAATGGGGAAATAATCTTAAGAGACAACTGGATATATATCTTGGACATTCTCATGGTGCAGTTCACAGAGTTGCCTGCTTCCAGGCCACGTCTAGTTAAAACTCATCCAAACAGTGAAATAATGTCTATCGAAGCCTAAACAGAACTGAATGGCCTTCCTAGATCTCAGATAACATTTAGATTCTACAAAGACGAACTATCAGACTAAAACATCTGGTGCTCTCTTGCCCAGATTACACCAAGTACACAAGGTTTTCTTTCAGTTTTCCTGTTCTAAAGAAGCCCAGAAACCAACTCTTAAAAAGCAGAAACGAAACTGCAGAATCACAAAATCATCTGAAGAACCCACAAACAACCATTAATACAGAATCATGTGGGCAGAATAAGTGCCTCCTATACAGAGGAACTGTGGCTAGGTGACCTTTTCACCTTCCTCTCCAGGTGCAGTGGATAGGCAATTTCAAGCCCACTCCTTCCCATCCCCTCTTTAAGTTAGTCAATTTCATTGCTTATAATGGGAGCGTGAGGTGGTGGTGAACTTGCTAATCGGAAAGCTAGCAGTTTGAATCTGCACTGTGGGGCGAGCCCCTGGTGCCTTGTCCCAGCTTTGGCCGACCCAGAAGCTTGAAAGTGTGCAGAAGTGCAAGTAGATAAAGGGGTAATCACCTTGGTGGGGCTCTAGTGAGCTGCGTGGTAGCGTGAGGACCAGCCCCGCATTGGAGCTGCAGTGTTGAACCTGCAGCAGCAGCAGCAGCAGCACCACCACCACCGGTAGTGGAGAGAGACTGGAGGATGCTGACAACCTTGCAGACCAGAGCTAGCTGCTTTGTGTGCAAAGCTGACTTGCCCCCTGTGGTGCAACAGCTAGCAACCTTAGGCAGCCGAACTACTCTGTGTTAACACTGCAGACTCCCTGGCTAATTGTACCAATGCCATGCAAAATAAATAAATACAATGGCTTACAAACATGGATTCATTACAAAATACAGACAGTCACAAATAAATAAAATATGACTGAATAAACCAATCCATTCATCCTGAGCACAGTTCACAGCAACAGATTTTAGGATCTTTTGCTTTAGCAGCCACTGTAAGTAAAGCTACTTGATTGGTCACATAAGGACCAGTAAATACAAGTCATTTAAACATTTGTTTAGCCAATTGTCTATCAGAGAATTTTATCCAGTAAGTAAATGAAGTCCCAGTAATTTCAATGGGTTCACTCTAGTTTGAAGTAGGACTAACACTGGATATGAGCCAGGCATTCCTCCCAAAGGTGAAAGAAATATTTTTCTGAGTCTGGCATGCAATGAACAGAATATATAAGGAACACAACCTCTTATATTTGTCAGGACCAACACATACAAAGTCATTAAAATATGAGAACACTTACGTACCTTCCATCCAACTATGAAGAAGGCACAATCTGGAAGCATAATTCCATAAATATGTTCCTTAGCTTAGAGCAAGTCAAGGAATTACAATGAAAGAAAAATACTCTTGGCCTTATAAAGATGGTACCACCTATTAATTCTTGTTTGTTGCATATTTTCCTCATCTTTATTAGCATTATGTGAGTATAACCCATTTCCAATTTTAGTCTTAGATATACTTAAATGAAAGGAAGTCAGTGACAGAGAACAATTGGCCAGTCTTTAAAAACAGGAAAAGTCCAGACATGCCTGTTCTCAATAACAAAGTTCAACAAAATAATATCAGGACTAAAAACCTATCTTTTTGAATTAAAAGGGAATTGTTTTGTTCAGTCTGACAGAAATTGATCATAGTCCCACTTCAACACAGAGAAGAGCAGCTGGACTCCGAGGGAAAAGGGCTAGAAAGAATTTTTACAACCCAGTTGATATAACCTCCAGGGTCATTTATTTTAGTGCATCCACCCAATCTCTCCATGATACAGATTTTGCCCTAAGATCTTCCCCTCAAATATTTTCAGTGCTGACATCACCAACTGACCCCCATGCCCCCTAGTTTGAAAGGAGGTTTAATTCATTTTTACCAGTCTACAAGCAGCCAAATTATTAATAGCTTATGCGGCTTCCAGGACAGATGGGCATTGTGGAATACAGTTATTATCCAAGAACCATGTATGTCTTAGCAAACACTATAATGTGAGTTTTATCAAAAATATTTTAAGGAATTACATTCTATAAAAAGTTCCCAATTTTTTCAATAACCTACTAATCTCTTATGTGCGTAAGGCAGGGGTGGGCCTGCAAGCTTGTATGTGATCCTGCAGGGGGGTTTTACAGCCCACACTGGCCCTACAGACGGATTCCCTGCAATTCTTCCAGGAAAAGAGATGGACAGGGAATAGAACTGGACTTCCCCCAGCCCATTAAACAGCTGCATGGTCCCCAAACACTCCTGGGGCCTCAAAGCACCTCTCTCAACCTTGAAATGAGGGATAACAAGACCATCTTGTCTGAGAATAAGATCGATCCTACTCTGTAAAATGGATGAGGGCGCGGGAATGAAAGAAAAGACAGTTCATCCATTGCATGTATTAATATAAAAACAGAATAAGAATGATGTTAGAAAAATACCCTTGTCTTACCCCTCTGTAATTTTCTTTGTCAAAGTGCTCAATACAGACCTGGATACATTTCTGGATATAAAGGCTGAAGGAAGTAACTCAGTGATTGAGAAACAGAGAGGCAAACAACCAAGCCATGAAGCCTGTCTGAAGGAATGTGGAGGGGAGAAAAAAATAACTGGCTTGAAAGTTTGCTACTTCCTATCTCATCCTCCCAGTAGTTTTATGAGACGGGGGGGGTCATAGGGCCAGGTGAAGAGAGGGCTGAACTAGTGAACTTGTAGTTATAAGCACGCAGGCGTAATAGGTTGATGATTATTAACTCGCACACTTTGAATAAACAATGAACTCATTATAGTGTACATGTGATGTATGTAGATGTATGTAGTGGGATGAGATGGGAGATATGAAGTTGGTGGACAGAAAGACTGCAATGTCCTACTACTCTCCCAATGATGGAAAAGGGGAGGATTGTGGCGGATGGGTTGAGGGGTAAAAGGAGCTGTTTTGTGTGTTTGTACTTTGGAGAGATTCTGACAGAGTGGGCTCTTCCCATCTATTGCAATAAACGAAGGAATCGCTTCACTCTGTTGGTAGTCTTCGTTATTTAACCTGAGGAGAAGTATTTTCGCAGCTTTTTGCATAACAAAGTCTAGAATTAAAATAATAAAAAAAACTCCTGCTGATACTTTGGGCCTGTGACTTATTTCATATCCTGTATGTCAAAATAAAAAACTAATGAACATTTTATTTATTTATTTAAAACATATTTACCCCATCCTTCCCAATAAAATGTCTCAGGACAGCTTACAATAATTAAAACAGTAATAATAAAATTAGAATCAGCAGTAATAATTGCAACAATTAAAACAATAAATAACAAAAGTGATAAATAAATAACATCTATAATTCAGCAAACAAAAAGAAAATGCAACTGTAATATTAAAAGCATCTAAAATCCTTAGTTCTTAAAATGATGGCTAAATAAAAAGGGTTTTACCTGGCGCCAAAGAGTATAAAGTCAGCAACAGGCAAACTTCTTCTGGGAACACATTCCACAATCTGGGCGCCACCACAGAGAAGGCCCTCCTCTGGGTAGACACCCTTTTTACCTCCTTCAAGGAGGGTTCCCAGAGCAAGGCCTCTCCTGCTGATCTTAAGGGGCATGAGGGAATGTAGGGAAGGAGACATTCCTTCAGGTGTCCTGGCCCCAAGCTGTTTAGGGCTTTATAGGTTAGCACCAGAACCTTGAATTGGGCCCAGATTTCAATCGGAAGCCAGTGTAGCTGATAGAGGACCAGCGTTATATGAAAATAATGACCGGCCCCTGACAGCAGTCTGACAACTCTATTTTGTACTAATTGAAGTATCTGGACCATTTTCAAGGGCAGCCCCATGTAGAGCACGTTACAATAATCCAACCGGGAAGTTACCAGGGCATGTGTCACTGTTGCTAGGCAGAGCTCGTCCAGGTAAAGATGCAGCTGATGGATCAGATGAAGATGAAGGAAAACGCTCCTCGCCACCACCATCACCTGGGCCTCCAGGGACAGCTCCGGGTCAAGGAGCACTCCTAGGCTGTGGACCCTGTCCTTTAGAGGAAGTGCAAGCCCATCCAGGACAGGGTCAAAATCACTTACCTGAAAACCCAAACCGCCCACCAAAAGGACCTCAACAAAAAGATCAACAAAAGCAGCAAACAAAGATGTTAAATATTCACAAACTGACTTCTGGATTAGATTCTGCAAGATAAAACAGTTGGCCTGTGCTGAGCCCCTTCCTAAAACTAACTTGATCAAGATGGATTATGGGATTAGTCTCAGCCCATTCCAATAATCTGTTCAGTAGGAAATCTGGAATAAAGTTTAGAAACAATATCTAATGAATTAATAAGTCTATAATTACTGAGGTTGCTTTGTCATCTTTTTTGAAAAATTGGGGACATAATACAGTTTTTTCATCCTTGAGCATCCAGCCTGAATATTATGAAAGATAGTAATCTTGCTGGCATAGGGTCCATTAATTTGAATTACCTTTCAATGTTTCTAGTAGCAGCTCCTCACCTGGCACTTCAGCACTAACCAGCTGGGGAATCAAACTTTTGATTTCTTCATCTGTGACAGGTGCTGGTTCTTTCAAAGATGATAAACTCTCCTCTCCTGACTCACCAGAAATAGCTTTAAAATAATAAACCCATTCCAAAAAACATAATCTAAGCTTCAGAGATTATTTCTCTTGCGATCTTATGAAACCAGCTTTCCAAACTGGTGTTCTTGTTGCTGGATGTAGGCCAAACCCAGTTTAGAATATACTTAGAATAGTCCAGCTCCTTTGTTTCTGAAGGTACTATATAGACAGTGTTCTCAGCAAAAGCCCAAACTGCCTGTTTGGATTTGAAGTACCTTGTCTTCCTTTTAGACCTAACTAGTTCTTCCTTTGGCCTTTCCTTTCTTAAGTTTCTTTATTGTTCATGTAGATTTGGACTGGATAGGTCTTCAAATATGGGTGTGTCATCCGAGAGCCCTTCAAAGAAAGAACTTCCTTCTAGAAAATAGGACACAGCCCTCTCATTTACTGTGAATCATTTACTGTATTTACCTTCTCAATAATCTGTACAACAAACTTGTGAGGCCAGTTGAGTTTGTATTGTCAACAAGGAAGACTGAAGCAAATGACTAAAGGACAGGTTTGGCTAAGTATACCTGGTGACATCTTGCAGAGTCAAAACAGATACTGTACTTTGCCCTCATACATCTGCCTTTCATGCTGCATTAGCTGGACCTTACCTTAAACCACAGTACACCAGGTGCAGGCTGTAAGAGCAATACGGCAGTGGAACCAGTTGCCAGGGGAGGATGTGTGCTTTTCCACACTAGAGACATTCAGGAAGCAAATACAGAGTTATCTGAGTGGGATGGTGTAACTGGCGTCCTGCACCAGCAGCGGGTTGGGCTCGATAGCCTCCTTGGCCCCTTCTGACCCGACCATTCTATTAATCTATGAAACAAACCTCTGCAAAAGGAAATGCCATTTCGCTCATCATTAATGACAATCGATAAGCAGCTCTCATCCTCCCCAAACTGGTCTAGCCCTAATTAGGGCCAGCACGTGACCCTCACCGCGGTGATTCAACGTTCATCCCAGCTTCCTGCCTAGGTGCCCTCTAGCGGGGAGAGGAAAGGAATGGTACGGTAATTAAGAGCTCACGGGCCATGACTTGCTGAAGTGAGCTTTAGAGACTACATCTCCCAGCAGCCCTTTGGGCATGGGTTGGATTTCCCGCTCCCTCCCGCCCTCCCTTCTGTCAGGAGCAGAGCTGGGAGGGCTTGCTCGGGCATGTAAGTTTCGGTTTCTTTGCGGATCGTGTCGGCTGTCATAGGCGTGCAGCTGAAAGCATCGCGGCTCCGGATCCGGCTTGGGCTTGGTGAGTTGACAGAGAGGGACTCCGCTTGGGTTCTGTCCCCGCTTTCCCTGTTTAGAGAAAAGTTTCAGAACTGGGAACTGGGAGACTTAGGGGTTTCCCAAGTGAAAGTTGATTGAGGGACGGCTTAAGAGTGATGGCTTTCCCCTGTTGTTAGATGCCCCAAAGAAACTTCCTCCGAAGGACAGAGGTCCCACTGAGCTCCCGTAACAGTTGATCCTGGCCCTTCTGTCAAACGACTTAACCGAGCGATACTTTTCAGAGAGCAGAAGAAAAATTACTCTTCCCACGCGGTTATTTTACAGGTCTCTGTTGTGCCTTCCGATGCCCAGCCAGTCCGTTTTTCCCTTTAAAAAAAGAAAAGCAATAGTAAGAGCATTGCTAGCCTTTCCCTGGCCCTTCATCAATAGGGTTGCCACATGTTACATATTTACGGGGGAGTAATTGAACTCATTGAACTTAATGGCACTTATTTCTGGGTAGACCATGTGTAGGATTGCTCTGTTTATATTTCTCTGTGTCCGTCCGTCCATCTGTCCAGTACTGTATTCTAAATGTGGACACATCATACGTATATGCTTCATGAGCTCTGCTCTTTCATTTCCCATGCCCTTTCTTATAATTCTTAACAATGTTTGTAGCTTTCCCCCATTATATATTGGCACTTTTCACCTCAGACACTTTCCATACATTAACCTTCACCCCACACCCCACCATCTGGATAGCTATGGCAAATTTGGACCTCTTCATTGTTGGTCTGAAATTGCTGAAGGAGAGATTCCAAACCAGGATGTGCTCCTGCTGTTCTGGATGGAGAGGGAAGTGGGTGGTCCCCTGAAAAAAGAAACCTTGAATTCCTTGGGTGGGTCTTTTAGTGTTAGTGGTGGTGAAGAACACTGCCTAGGGAGCTCTGAGAGAGATCCAGCATCCTTATATTTGCCCTATGTGATACAGAAAAGCAATTGGGACTCTTGTATTGGTCAACTGCAGGTAGATACCCAAATATCTCTTCTTTCAGTCTTAGGTCTTAGTGACAGGTCAATGTTATATTTCCCATTCTACAGATGAGAAGTGAGACGGTATTGGCACAGCTCTTTTTAGGGGCCTCAGATGACCCCCTTCTGTCAAGCTAGGTTTGCTGAATCTTGCATCTGAAATTGATCCGTTGCCTTGGGAGTTTACAGAGAAAGGAAAGTTCTAGCAAGTGTGTTCCTCTTCTCTGCAACCCTTAAAACACAGAAGGTCTGGCTCTCTGCACCTGCTGTGGCCTGTGGGGGATGAGACATACTGCTTGAGTCTATTGGATCTCTAAAGAAAATTTCAGTTTATGCTGATCTCCAGCCCCAACAAAGTAGATGGTGAAAATGGGGAAGCTGGAGCTCACTTGATCATGAAGCAGCATGATTCAGTCCCCTGGGTGGTGGAGTGGAGAGGAGAAATGAAGAGGCAGCTTCCTGATTTCACTCTGTTTTTCTCTGTGTCATTTAATGCCAACAACCCAAACACCATTCCAGAGCAGGTGATCATTATTTGGAATGCTTTGCCTGAGATGCAAAAACACCTGAAGCCATTGCTGAGTCAGGCTGGCCTGCATTGTCTACCCCACAGGAGTGGGCAAATTGTGGCCCTCCAAATGTTTAGGTGTGCTGGCTAGGCTTGGTAGGAGCCAAAGCAATGGAGGGCCAGAACACCTGGAGGGCCACAAATTACGCACCCTGATCTAAAGTATTAACAGGATGGCTCTGTATGCTCCCCTTTACTATGATATCTAACTTCTGTCTTAGTGGAACTGTTAGGAGTAGTGACTGGTCTGCTTTGGTCTTTTCATTTCCTTCCTAGTTCTGAATACATTTGCAGTTATACTTGCATTGGCAGGTATGGTCAGGTTCTACTTTTGTGCTGCCTATATTGCTGCCATAGGATGAGGAAACATATCTGAATCTGGGCTGTGCAATTTGGTTCTGCGATCTTGGATCAGGAATGGGGAGGGCAGATGACAAAATTCTTCTTTGCCCCATATTCTACTTGGGCAGCTGTTTGTATGCAGAGGCTTTTGTTAATGTAAAAACTTTTCTATTCTGACATACACCTCACCTGTGTTTAAAATGTGTACTTCCCTGTACCATTTCAAAGAAGTGGTACGTATGTAAGCCAATGCAGATGCCGTTTTGTGTGGAGTTGGCACCAGAGCAGTTATCCCTGCTGAAGAGACAGTTCTCTTTTAAAACGCAATAGTGGCTTTTCTCTTCTGCAACCAGGGCTGCTGTGATGCTGATGGATGGTACAGCTTGATCCACACATGGGAAGAACTGTGTTCATGGTGTTTCTCTTTATCATGGCAGAATGCTGTAGATTCCATCCCCACCCACACTCTTGGTGCATGCAGTTACACCAGCATGTACAAAATTCTAACATGTTTCCCTTCTGTGTCAGCCATGGCTTCTCTCCAGATGTACCAAACGTTTGTCTTCCTTGATATTGAGACAACTGGCTTGCCTCAGGACTCTCCTCGTATGGCCGAGCTGTGTATGTTTGCTGTGAATTGCCGTTCCCTGCAGCGCTCTTCACTGGACAGGTTGCTGACCCCCCAGCAGCAACTGCCACGCATCATAGACAAGCTCACCCTCTGCATGGACCCCCAGAAGCCCTTCACTTTGCAGGCAGAGTTGATCACTGGACTGAGCAAGCAGGGCCTGGAGGAAAACCACAAGCCACAAGTCAACAAAGCCATGGCAGAGGCTGTGAAGGGGTTTCTGGATCGACAAGCTGGCCCAGTGTGCTTGGTGGCTCACAATGGCAATGGATTTGACTTCCCTATCCTCCGGGCAGAGCTAAAGCAAGTGGGGGCAGATCTGCCTGCAAGCATTGGCTGCCTGGACACTCTGCCAGCCTTAAGGGAATTGGTTAAAAGTGGGAGCAGGAGCTACAGGCTGGGGGATCTGTACCGAAGCTTTTATCATCAAGATCCTGTTGCAGCCCACTCAGCTGAAGGGGATGTTATCACTCTTCTTCTGGTATTCCTCGCCAAAGCCCCTGAGCTGATGCTATGGGCAAGCATTCATGCCAGCAGCTGGGGGGAGATCCAGCCTATGTACTTCCCGAGAACAAACAGTAGATGAAAAAGGTTTTGAGAAAAGACACTGCCCCACCCCCACAGGCATGCATGCACAAAAGCAAAATTAGAAAGAGCGAAGATCTGTCCTCTACAGGATCACCTGCCAGGCTTCTAGACACAGACTTGTTTTGAAAAACCAGGGAGTGATCATAGCCGCCAGTGCTGGGAGCCGAGGTTTCTCCTTCCAACAAACACCAGCCACAGTCCCCTTTTCTTGCAAACATTCTTTACTGCTTCAGTACAAATCACCCAGAACGGATCTCTGAGCATGCACAGAGTGGTTTGCTGAACCCAGTCTAGCCATTACCTCCAGGAACTCTCCTTATGAACACAGCTGTGTCCCAACCTGAAGACAAGCTCACCTCTTCTCCGTACGCTCGTCATCCAACTGTGCCTCTCGCCTCTGCTGGTGGCTTTGCTCAGAGGGGAAGGGCTGGTCTGCATCCTCTCCCACTGGCTGTGCGTCTGGGCCATTTCCAGGAACTGTCTGGTGCGGCAAAGCACCTGTCCTTGAGATAATCACCTCCCGCTGCTCCTGTTGCATCCCAGGACCTTGAGCGAATCCATGCTCCCCAGCCTCACTGAGACGTTCCCCATCTTTCGAATCTGAATCAGCACTTGGGATATGCCTAATATCCCATGAGAATGCCTCCCCAGGCCCTCCATCCCTTCTGCTCTTAACATCCAGTGCCCCATGCACATCAGCTCTGCCACCCACTCCCAACTTTTGTGCATTTAGGGCTGGATACCCTGTGAACCCCTTGGTAAACCACTACTCCCAGCATCCTTCCCCATTAATCATGCTGGCCGGGGATGCTGAGAATTCAAGTCTTAATGACTTCTGCAGGACTGTGGGTCCCCAGCCCTGGCCAAAAGGGATTCTAACTGTGCTCAGAAGAGAGGGTTGTAATTCCATGCTTATGGAATGCCCTTCCCAAGGAGGTTCATCCTGCACCCACATGTTGCCTTTTAACAACAGGCAAAGACATACTTTTTCTCCTGGGCATTCTAATTTTGAGATCTTTGCTTAGAGACTCCTATATAATCTGTCCAGAGGGGTTTTTGGAATGGGATGAACAAAACATAAATTATTAAGGTGATGCTAAAACATACCAAAGTCAGGCTTGGGAGAGGTTAGGCTGGCATATGAGCACCAAGCATGCATGCCCCTGGCTTCCTACAAACTTTGTGCCCATGCTAGTAATTCTTGTTTGGGTAAAATTTCTGAAAACTTCTATTGGGTTTAGATGCATGGGACCTAGCTTCAGATTCACCATAAAATGGACTGGGAAAACATTGGGAAAGTCGCAAGGACTCAGCACAGATGGGGACAAATGTTTAACCTTCATCCAGTATTTTAAAAAAACACATGTTGCTCCCTGGAGTGCATTTATAAGCCCAGGAGGAAGTGCCTTATGCTACAACAAATTGAATTCCTAAAAACCTTTATTATTGTTGCCATTTTCCATCATGCAATCAGCACAAATATGGCTTTCAGTTACCAGCAAGTACAAGTAATGGAAGATTAAATATTTCCTGAGACTATTCAGAATGAAAAAATCTGCATAAGAATAGCAGGGCCATTAACTTTTTACCTGTATATCCATGGTTTGGCCTTCTAATTTTGAAAAATCACAACATGGCTATCTCTCAATGGATTTTCATTCTACTTGCTGGAGGTTACAACTGAAAATCACAGCTCTTCAAATGAGATCCTTGCTTTGTCCCATTTTGGGGGCTTTTATTTAGTAGGGAAATGTATCCCATAGAAGTAATCCCATGGAGCGGCTATGGTTATCTTAATTAAAGAAAATAGAAGACATTTGGGGATGTTTTAGACAATGAATTTTATGACAGTGCCATAAAATAATGAGTCAGTAGGGGCACTCTTTAAATTGCAGTTCAGAATCTGCCCCTGCTATGCTAAAGTAACCCCACAATGCTGGAAGATGTTAAAAATGGATGGAATTAAGCCACTGTTAAAATAATAAAGATAAGAGGATAAAAAAATAAAAACCAAAGATCTTAAAGGCTAAACCACAGAAGTCAGATCTGGAAGATGTTGCCTTGTGGATGATTGTGTGATGTATTCACCATTGCCCTCAGGTGAGGCTGATGGCCTCCATGTTTGGTGTTCAGGAGATGAGTGGAACATGGAAATTATGCCTTTGACTCTTCTGTCAAATAGGTCGTGATGCACCTGATCCACCAGATCCATCTAATACTTTGATGGAAGCCTGTTGGTGCTGATCATTGCAACACCTTGTGGAAAGGAGGACTAATTAGGAAACAATATGATGGGACAGGAAGTTTTTCCTATTGTTCATTGTGTTTGTCTATTGCCCTTAGGTGATCAGGTTTCTTGTATTTTTGCTAATTGTTCTCTTCTGTTGAAATGCATATTAAAAACTCTTAAAACCTGGCCTGTGTTACCTTTGGTGTTATGTTTGTAAAGGATCACATAATGAAGCCAGAGTCATGGGGATATATATGCAGTGTCCATCCTATGTAAGTCTTATTGCTGTTAGTTGCGAAGTCATGTCTGACCCATCACGACCCCATGGACAACATTCCTCCAGGCCTTCCTGTCCTCCACCAACCCCCGGAGTCCACTCAAGCTCACACCAACTGCTTCAGTGACTCCATCCAGCCACCTCATCCTCTGCTGTCCCCTTCTTCTTTTGCCATCAATTGTTCCCAGCATTAGGCTCTTCTCCAGGGAGTCCTTCCTTCTCATTAGGTGGCCAAAGTACTTGAGTTTCATCTCCAGTATCTGGCCTTCTAAAGAGCAGTCAGGGTTGATCTCCTCTAGGACTGACTGGTTTGATCACTTTGCAGTCCAAGGGACTTGCAGGAGTCTCCCCCAGTACCACAATTCAAAGGCCTCAATCCTTTGGTGCTCAGCCTTCCTTATGGTCCAGGTTTCACAGCCATACATTGCAACTGGGAAAACCATAGCCTTGACTATACGCACTTTTGTTGGCAGGGTGATGTCTCTGCTTTTTAGTATGCTGTCTATATTTGCCATAGCTTTCCTCCCCAGGAGCAAGCATCTTTTAATTTCTTGGTTGCAGTCCCCGTTTGTGGTGATCTTGGAGCCCAGGAAAATAAAATCTGTCACTAACTCCAGTTCTTTCCCATCTATTTGCCAGGAAGTGAGAGGACCGGATGCCATGATCTTGGTTTACTTAATGTTGAGTTTCAAGCCAACATTTGCACTTTTTTCCTTCACCCAGATCAAGAGGTTCTTTAGTTCCTCTTCACTTTCTGCCATTAGAGTGGTATCATCTGCATATCTGAGGTTGTTGATATTCCTCCCAGTAATCTTAATTCCAACTAAGCCCCACCTTTCTCATGATGTGCTCTGCATATAAGTTAAATAGGCAGGGCGACAGTATACAGCCTTGCCGAACTCCTTTCTCAATTTTGAACCAATCAGTGGTCCCATGTCCAGTTCTCACTGTTGCTTCTTGACCCGCATATAAGTTTCTCAAGAGACAAATAAGATGGTCTGGTACTCCCATCTCTTTAAGAACTTGCCACAATTTGTTGTGATCCACACAATCAAAGGCTTTAGCATAGTCAATGAAGCAGAAGTAGATGTTTTTCTGGAACTCCCTAGCTTTCTCCATGGTCCAGCGTATGTTGGCAATTTGATCTCTAGTTCCTCTGCCTCTTCGAAATCCTGCCTGTACTTCTGGTAGTTCTCAGTCCACATACTGCTGGAGCTTGTAGGATTTTGAGCATAACTTGGCTAGCATGTGAAATGAGTGCAATGGTGTGGTAGTTTTAACTATCTTTGGCATTGCCCTTCTTTGGGATTGGAATGTAAACTGACCTTTTCCAATCCTGTGGCCACTGTTGAGTTTTACAAATTTGCTGGCATATTGAGTGTAGCACTTTTACTGCATCGTCTTTTAAGATTTTGAATAGCTCAGCTGGAATACTGTCACCTCCACTAGCTTTGTTGTTACTCAGACTTCCTAAGGCTATTTGACTACATTCTAGGATGTCTGGCTCGAGGTCAGTGACCACCCCATCGTGGTTATCAGGGACATTAAGCTCTTCCTTGTATAGTTCTTCTGTGTGATCTTGTCACCTGTTCTTAATCTCTTCTGCCTCTGTGAGGTCCCTGCCATTTTGGTCCTTTATCATGCCCATCTTTGCATGAAACGTTCCCGTCATATCTCCAATTTTCTTGAAGAGATCTCTGGTCCTCCCTGTTCTATTGTTTTCTTCTATTTCTTTGCATTGTTCATTTAAGAAGGCATTCTTTTCTCTTCTAGCTATACTCTGGAATTCTGCATTCAATTGGGTGTATCTTTCCTTTTCTCTCTTGCCTTTCACTTCCCTTCTTTCCTCAGCTATTTGTAAAGCTTTCTCAGACAGCCATTTTGCTTTCTTGCATTTCTTTTTCTTTGGGATAGTTTTAGTTGCTACCTCTTGTACAATGTTGCGACCCTCCATCCATAGTTCTTCAGGCACTCTGTCTATCAGATCTAATTCCTTAAATCTATTTGTCACCTCTACTGTATATTCATCAGGGATATGATTTAGGTCATACCTGAGTGGCCTAGTGCTTTTCCCTACTTTCTTCAATTTAAGCCTAAATTTTGCAACCAGAAGCTCATGATCTGAGCCACAGTCAGCTCCTGGTCTAGTTTTTACTGACTGTATAGAGCTTCTTCATCTTTGGGTGCAGAGCACATAGTCAATCTGATTTTTGTGTTGATCGTCTAGTGATGTCCATGTGTAGAGTCGTCTCTTGGGTTGTTGGAAAAGAGTGTTTGGTATGACCATTGTGTTCTCTTGACAAAATTCTGCCAGCCTTTGCCCTGCTTCATTTTGTACTCCAAGGCCAAACTTGCCTGTTATTCTGGTTATTTTTTGGCTTCCTACTTTAGCATTCCAATCCCCCATGATGATAAGGACATCATTTTTTGGTGTTAATTCTAGAAGGTGTTATACATCTTCATAGAACTGGTCAACTTCAGCCTCTTTAGCACCAGTGGTTGGGGCATAGACATAAAAACATAAAAACAGAAACAGAGCAAGTCAGAAGGGGCCTCCAGGGCCATCTAGTCTGACCCCCAGCTCCAGCCAGCTCCGTTCATGACATGCCCAATAGACTTGGACTATTGTGATGTTGAATGGTTTTCCTAGGATTCGAACTGAGATCATTCTTTCATTTTGGAGACTGTATCCCAGTACTGCTTTTCCTACTCTTTTATTGACTATGAAGGCTACTCCATTTCTTCTGAGGGATTCTTGCGCGCAGTAGTATACCTGATGGTCATCTGAATTAAATTCCCCCATTCCTGTCCATTTTAGTTCACTGATTCCTAAGATGTCTATGTTCAGTCTTGTCATCTCTTGTTTGACCACATCCAGCTTTCATTCATTCCAGGTTTCTATGGAGTATAGATTTTTGCAGCATCGGACTTTCCTTTCACCACCAGATACATCTGCAACTGAGTGTCCTTTCGGCTTTGACCCAGTCACTTCATTCTTTCTGGCATTACTAGTACTAGCCCTCCGCTCTTCCCCAGTAGCATATTGGACACCTCCCGACCTGAGGGGCTCATCTTCCGGCATCTTATCTTTTTGCCTTTTGGTACGGTCCATGGGGTTTTCATGGCAAGGATACTGGAGTGGGTTGCCATTTCCCTCTCCAGTGGATCACGTTTTGTCAGAGTTCTCTGCTATGACCTGTCCCTCTTGGGTGGCCCTGCACAGCATAGCTCATAGCTTCATTGAGCTACGCAAGCCCCTTCGCCACGACAAGGCAGTGATCTATGAGGGAGATGTAAGTCTATTCAGAAATAAATCCTATTGCTTTAAGTGGGGCTTTACTATCAGATTGCAGCCTAAAACAATTATTAAGTTAAAGTGGTGCCTTGATTTACAGGGCAGCATCCCCCCCCCCCCCCCAAAAGAAAAGTACTAACAAAAAAAGAGATGACTAACATCTTAGAAGATAAACTTTCCTTCTGTCACTGCAGGGAGTGCCTTTTCCTGAAAGCTGCCTGAAACAATAGGTGCTTGTGTCACTTAAAAAACAGACATATGCACTACCTTCCCAACTATTACTTCATTTAAACACCATTTTACACAGATTTAATTCATCAAAGAAATGTACTTGGTTGGATAATTAAGAAACTGCGGCCTTCTGGTTTATAAGATCCAACGGAAATTGTCCTGTGTGATAGTTGAATGTGTCCTGTAATACAGGCTTCCTCAACCTGGTGGCCTTCAGTGACATTTGGACTGCAGCTCCCAAAATTCCCATCCAGCAGGGCCATTGACTAGGAATTCTGGGTGTTGCAGTCCAAATGTGTCTAGAAGGTACAAGGTTGGGGAAGACTGCTGTAATAAACCATGAATTAAGTTATTTCCCTTGTTTGTGTAGTCCTGTTTTCTTAAGGAAAGCTAGAATCAAAAATAAGAAAACCATCACTTCTGTCAAAGCAGCTATAACGACTGAGTTTGCGTGGGACAACTAAACACAATAAAAACCTACAGTTGCTTGTTCTGTTGCCTGAACCCAGTGGAGGAGATCAGCCATTGTGAATAATCCACCACGATAAGCCGCAGCAGCCTGTTTTAGGTTTTCTCACTACCACAATTGCTGGTTTTGTTCTCCAAACGTTTGTCCTCCATCATGGTAGGAACCCAGACAAGAGAGCTGCTTGGTAAGGGCGGCAGTTGCCCCTCTTGCCAGGTAGCTAGATGGAGAGCCCTGGTGCACCAGTCTGGTGCAGCAATTGGAGGCATCCCAGCTCCTCCTGCCGCTCGCCTCATAGGACTTTGGGGCAGGAGTTGGGAAATCAGTTGGGCAGGGCTGCCCTGCCGACTGGCCCCCCACTCACACTTGAGGGGAAGTCTTTCATACATGGGTGGGAGGGGGATCAGCTGAGGGGGCTGCCTTGAGAAGAAGGGGCCTCTGGCTTGGGAGAAGGGTGCTCCATCCTGGCACCTGCCAGAGCACCTCCCCCGCCCAAGCAGGAGCAAGGAAGGCTCAGCGTGGATGCCCGATTCTTGAAGGATCCCTGCGAAGGCAGCCCTTCACTCCTGCCTGAGCAAAGGAGGTTCAAAACAGCACAATGAGCTGGCCTCCTCATGGCTACTGGGCTCTTGGGACAGCCACTGGAATGGTTTACAACATAGGGGTCGCTTTGATACATGTTCTGAGAATTGTAAGGCTGTGCTGGCCTCCCGGTTGAAGAGGAAAACAAAACACTTGGGAAAGAGTGCTAGAAAGCAGATAGAAAGGAACAGAGTGTTGCTTGGAATCCTGTGGTATGTAGGCAGGCTTTTTAAAGCCTTATACTCCTTAAACTCCTATATGTCTTAAACTTTAAGAAGAATGAGCTGTTATATGGAGTTAAAGGGATTTTTTGTTGTTGTTTAGTTGCAAAATCATGCCCGACCCATCACGACCCCATGGACAACATTCCTCCAGACTCTGCTGTCCTCCACCATCTCTCTCCACACCCACTGCCCCAGTGACTCCATCTAGCCACCTCATTCTCTGCTGTCCCCTTCTCCTTTTGCCATCAATTGTTCCCAGCATCAGGATCTTTTCTAGTGAGTTGTTCCTTCTCATTAGGTTAAAGGGATTTTACTGTGTGGTTAATTCTTTTTTTCTTCTTCTATTTTGCTTATGGTGTATAAGAGATTTATTTTTGCAAGCAAAGAAAGTTGACACAATAACAGAAAACCCACTTTATTTTCTCTGATATAATCCTTGGCATGTGTTTCCCCCACTCTGAATTAATGAAAGTTTCTGGACTCAGTTTAAAAGGACTTTCTTAATTGTTTCAAAAGCTGAGTCAATCAGTATGCTGTAAGCATCTTCTCATGGCTAAACAGATCTGACAATGCAATTAATCAAACTGAAAGCCATACAGAAGAATCATGCACTTATATTCTATTTGAATTGTAGGCATATTGTAGACTGAACTGATAGTAGTCATGCAATGAAGATTTTTTTCTTGATGGAGACAGAGACTTTTCAGTGGCATCCCCTTAGTTGTGGAGCTGCTTCCCAATGGATATATAACTGACCCTCTTCTGGATTTTAGGCTTGAAAACTCATCTGCTTCAAATTGTATTTAGCTGAAATGCTTTTATTTAATATGTAGATTCTGTATTATTGATAGTTATCTTCCACTGGTTTTAAAATGTGTTTTTAATGGCTTGCTTAATTTTAAACATGTCTGGACTGGCCTTCATTAATTTGTGCTTTCTGTCATGAGATTTTGTGAAAATGGTACATTGCAATTTTGCTTCTTTTATGTAGGTTGCTCTGAGAGGATTCTTTTTTTTAATCTGGATGGTTGTCTGAAAATATTTTAAGTAAATAATAGCATGTTGCGTTTCCATAATCCTGTGGATCTGCACTGAACATTATCACACAGAGTTGGTGTAATCATTATACATAATTTGAGCACTCTTTTCTAGTGTCTGTAAAAATTGTCCACAGATAATATTAGAATACTAACACAGAGCGGCAGAGTGGGGTGCCTGATCACCTGAAGCTGATTTATCCTACCACAGGTACAAATGTTGATATTCAGAGTTGCTTTAATGATCCTGCATTATGATTTTGCATTGTGGCATGACACAGTCAGTCTTCCTCACTTATTCCCAGTTTAATTCACTAGGTCTGTTTATTTCCTCGGGCTGCAGCAGAGGGAGATACTGGGAGCAGAGCAGAGAGGCCAACTTCAGACGCCTCTCACAGAAGTGTTCCTGTTCTGGGTAGTCATTTATGAGTTTCTGTGTAAGTGTCAGAAGTGGTGCCTGAATCGGCTTGTTTTTCTCTTCCCTCTTCACCTACTTTTCCTTTTGTATGGTTTCCTTTAGATGATATGCCTGCAGACAGACCTTTATTGTTTCTTCCAGACTATGGAATGTGCTCCCCAGAAGGTTCGCCTGGAGCTGACTTTATTTTCTTTTCAGTGCCAGGTGAAAAACTTTTTATTTGTCCATCATATTAAATGTAAGGAGTTTTAATTAGGTTTTAACTTCACATTCGCTTTTTGGTTTTTGATTTTGCTTTTATTTTTGACTTTGATTTTGTTTTGATTTTTCATCATTTGTAAAATGTTATTGGTTTTACATGGATATTTATTTATTTATTTAATAAATCTGTTGAATTGTTTGCTCTGATTTTTGTAAGCCACCCTGAGACGCTTTTGCGTATAGGGCACGGGTATAAATATTTTAAATAAATAAATATTGTTTTTATTGATCTTATGTAGGCTGTTCCTATGTAGGGTGCCTTTTTAACTGAAGGGGAAGGAATGCTTGCAGTAGCAAACATGTGACATGTGTGACACACACACTACAAGTGTTGTAGCGTTCATTGTGTGTTCACATGTCTGTGGAACTCACTCTCTCAGCTTCTGGATGACTTGCCTCCATGAAAGGAATCACCGCTGAACTTAAATCCCAGTCAGGGTGGCCATGAATGCAGCTGGCATTTGTAAGACAGACTATCCCAAGCTCTTTTTCTACCTGAGTGGGAGATACTGTTGAAAATATAGTACTGGAGAAGAAGCATGCTATGCTATGCTAAAGCTGATACGACCCTACAAGACCCTGGGATGGCGCAGCGATAGTTATCACTGCCTGGATGCAGCATTCCAGATAACAGGAGCAAGTGATTGTTTCTGATGCCTCAATTCTTCTAAATGTAATAGGGTGATCTTTTAAAATGTACAATAAAATCATCTGTATATGGTAAGTGGAAAGGGAGAGGCTATTGAGGCTTGAGAAGCATGTGCTACAGACACATTTTGAAACTGATTGCCAACTGGCACCATGTTTGAAGAGATTAAAGTTGGATTACGAAGTAGTATGACTCTGCAACATTACCAAAACAACTAGTGGGGTGTGGAGCTTAGAAGTGCTCAACAAGGCTGGGGGAAATACAGGTTCAGGTTCCTGTTCAGTTATGAAACTCAGTTGGCGATGTTGGTCCCATCAGTATCTCTCTTCTCAGCTCACCTTCCCTCACAGGCTTGTTGTGAAAATAAAATGGGGAGTGGAAGAGAGCAATTTAGACCATCCTGACTTTCTTGGTAGCTGTCTTGGTAAATGAGTGGGATTGTTTGGTTTTTTTTTTTTTAACCAACCTCTGTGCTTGACTTTTTAATTATCATAATTATTAACATCTCCTACACTGGAGGAGTGATTTTTCAAAGGTTCTGCTTTTGAGGAAGCCCTTTCAAAATGCACTCAAATGCTGCACCGTGTACATTTGTCAAAGAACTCCAGTGCTGTCTATAGCCAGTTTATGTAGGATGTTGGCCAGGCCTATACGACTTCCATTTTGCCCCATTTGAGCCTAGACTGCTCCTTAATATATATCCTATCCCAGGACTGCTATTGTGGAGGAAAGTCAGTAGTCACACGCAAACTGATTTGGGGAGGCTCGTTTGGCATTTCTGCAGCAGTGCCATGACACATTTTAAAGTGCAGGTGCCTACCATGACAGTCCCATAACCTGCCCCAGAGGAAAGTCCAAACACTCAGGCAGCTGTGTTGATCCACTTCAAAACACCAATGTTAATGGTTTTAACCCCACCAAAAGCTAGTTTGGATACAGTGGCCAGGCTGTATTCCAGCTCAAGCTGCTGCAAAATCCCTCTGCATTACAACAGGGAGCGAGCGATATGTTGTTGGGAAAATTCATTTCTCCCAGGGATGGGAATTCCAATGGTGCAGTTGGTTTGGCAGATGACATCTGTGTCCCTGCTAATTAAAAAAATATTGTTGGGGTGTCCCTGTGAGCCGTGGTTCTGCTGCATCACGGAACTCATTAAGGAGCTCCTGCTAATCATTGGAGGAACTCCTGGCTTCCCTGGAATACCTTCGGAATGACAGCACCCAAGGACTCAAGGGTTCCAGGTTTTCTTTGGAGCTCAGAACGCATATGCTCTTCCAAAGTGGTTGCATTTCCAAAGGGCACCTGACTGCATTATTGGTTATTCCAGGAAAGCCTCTCCCAGACCAGTCCTTAGCAAACCGGGCTCTAATTAGTACAAAGTAACAAACCAGTCAGTCAGAAAAAGCTGGGTGCAGTTCACTTGGAATGCATTGGCATGAGGTGGACTGAGAAATGTATGGGAGGTGTCTGGGTATGCTGTTGTGGAGAAGCTTTATGAAGGCCACAAGAGAACCATTTCCTCAATATCACTTCCGTAAGATGCAAAGGGCGGAGTATGAGCTGTTTCTTTGGCAGCCCTTCCCTTACAGCCTCCAGAAAACATGTAGGCCTCCCAGAGGCCATTCCTGCCAACTGTCCTGAAAGCAGAAGAAGACAGTTCTCTTCAAACAGGCTTTTAAAAAGAATTTAAATTATGAATATCCCTCCTCCCACCCAATCTTTCATTCCTTGTGTGACATGTCTTTTTAGATTGCAAGCCTACAGGACTGCCATGTCACTTTCCTTAGTAAGCAATGCTGGCAGCCTTTTTGGTTCAAGGGTGGAGCATACATGCTGTAAACAAATAGATAAACACAGCCAGTCCCTAAAATAACCCAGCTGAGGGGAAGACCGACATAAAACATCACAAGAAGTTATTAGTTGTCAGGTATGTTTGTTCGTTTGTTCATTAGTGTATGCCTACTTTACTTTGGTTTTTAAAGAAAAGCATGTTTGTTCATTTATGGGTTTATCCAGTTACACATTGGACTGCTCTGTTTGTATTGTATGTGTTGTTCTAAACAGCCCAGAGAGGGATTTTTGTACCCACAGTGGGTTGTTGTGCCATCTGAACCTGGACTACTGACCCTACCACTGACACTGGAAGCCAGTTACTGAACAGCAACAGTCCGCCCACCCCTTGCCACTCTGTCTAAATTCATGTGGGTCTCTGTCAGTGCCAGCCACCCAACACGTGCCCAAGTGGCACTTTGGGGTGATTGGCACTGGCACAGTGTCCCTGCTGCAATGGTCAGCCTTTTTTTTTACTCACTGTGGCTTTTTGTCTTTTTAACCTGCTCTCCCCTTCCCCCCATCAGAGATAGTGATCCGCAGCTTGACAGCCAGTTTTTCATGATCTCCATTCTGATAGTCACCAGCAGCCCCTTCCAAGTGCCAAAGTGGCATATTGAAGGAACTGTCAATGGCTGGTAAACTGTTTTTCAGAAATGTATTTGTTCCCACTATGTGCACAAATACTTTCTTTTGTAAAATATCTATCATATGTCCACACTTGTGTAACTGCAGAGGTGGGTGTGCAGTTCTGTAAATATGGGAGCCTCAGGTGGGCAATGTCCAGAGGATACCTGCTGACAAAGTGCAGGACATATGAAAATGGGGGTGGGGAGTTAATGACTCTGCTTTCTGGAATAAATGGAGGCTCAGAAACATGTGGAAAAGGTGGAGAATATGCAGAACTGTCAGTTCAACACTTGAAAATGAGAAGAAAATATTACTAAGGAGGAAATATTGTCTTCCCAGTGCTTTTGGTGCACCTTCTTTTGATGCTTTTCCAATCCTTTATTAGAGCTTTTTAACTGACTGCTTGTACTTGGCCACTGGCAACAAACTAACCTATGTGGAATATCACCTTGTCAGTCTGTCACCTACTCCACTTCCCTACTTCCTTTGACATCTGAAACATAAAAGGAAATTGACCAGGCAAGACTACTTATATCAGACAGCTGTAGGAGTGTCCTTGCGTATGAAAGATTGACTGTAAATATAGTTAATAGTCAATCTTTCATTATGAAGACAGTTGTGTGATTTTCTGGAACTGAAAAGGGCAAACCAGGTGGCAAACCAGTCACTTTCACTCCAAAGTGCCACTTGAGCATGGATGAGATTGCAAATAGCTGTGGTTGTGGGAAAGAGTCACTTTTCTTGCTGAGCAAATCACTAGCAAATCCACACTTTATTGTTTAGTTGCGAAGTCATGCTTGACCCATCACAACCCCATGGACAACATTCCTCCAGGCTCTCCTGTCCTCCAGTATCCCTCGGAGTCCACCCAAGCCCACCCCCACTGTCCCAGTGACTCCATCTAGCCACCTCATCTTCTGCTGTCCCCTTCTCCTTCTGCCGTCAATTGTTCCCAGTATCAGGGCCTTTTCCAATGATTAGGTGGCCAAAGTATTTGAGTGTCATCTTTAGTACCTGGCCTTCTAAATTGTGGTTGGGGTTGATTTCCTTTAAGATTGACTGGTTTGATCTCTTTGCTGTCCAAGGGACTTTCAGGAGTCTTCTCTAGCACCACAATTCATAATCCACACTACCTATGGTGGAATTGCTTTCTCAGGTTCAGACAACATGACAACCCATCATGGTACAAAAAGCCCCTAGACGAAGACATGGAGTGTCAGGGCGGCTCGTTCCTGAAAAATAAGCAGGGAGCAGTCTAGGTTTGGAGGACATGACAAACATGTCATGCCCTACCTGCAGGAGAATTCATCAGAGGAAGAAGAAGAATGGGAAGGCCAGCACCAGAGTCCCCAGCCAGAGCCTGACTGTGAAATACTGTTGGAAGAGCAGCCAGGGCCTTCCTGGGCTCTTCCTAGATTTTCCCAAGAGCAGGAGGCAGAGCTGGAGGAGATTCACCCTCAGGAAGGAGGTGGATCCAGCACAAGCATCAGAAGTCCAATTAGAAAGCCCTGTGTGGAGGTTCCCTGAAAAGCAACCGTCTGACTTAACTAGACAACTGTGCTGATTTAGAGGCAGCTGCAAATTAGCTGAACCGGAGCCCACTCTCTGTTGCAAACAGTGGTGTTTCATCCCAGTGCTTCTCTTGACCTGTCAGACTTGGAAAATTCCATGATCTTTGGCTACCTCCCTGGACCACTCCCTTGTCCCCTCCCTGATCACAATGAATTAGACTGAACAGGACTGGTTTCCACTTTCCTGGACTGATATCATATATGTTGTCAGCTGCATAGGAATTTGTGAGCTGTGCCTACTGCCTGTGGGAAAGAGGTGCCTCAGGAACCATTCAGAGAGCTGGGAGCTTCTGGTTAGAGATTTAGGAGTGGTGGGGAAAGATGCTCTGGTGGGTTTCTGTTCAAGAGAGATGACAATCCTGTCTTGGTAGGAAGGGAGTCATCGGACCAATTTACAAATGTCAACATGTGATTTAATATTGCCTTGGTTTATGATTTTGACTTACCTGAGCATCTGAACTCCCAAGTAGGTGCATAAATCTGGGATAAATCACAAGTGGTGGTCTAGTGCAGCCTTACATTGAGTTTAGGAGACATACGAGATGCAGGCAAAAATGGCATAAATAAACACACTCCAAATGATTAGCTTTTAAATACATGTTCTTTCTCTTTTTATTTGGTTTTTATCCAGTTTTTTTTCTCTATACCTTTTGGGGTGACAGGGGCAGATCTGGGGGGTTAATGCATATTTTTCCTGTCATTTTGCTGCTGTTGTTGGTATTTTTTGTCATTTAAAGATGGAAGAAAAAATCACACGATATCGACCGGGGCAAAGAGCTGGACAAACTGAAACGCACAATTACGGCACGATCAGATACACAGACACTGAGTTATATATAGTCAGAGTGCCACGGGGGATTGAAGGAGGGCGGATGGGGAGGGGCTGGGCAGAGGACTGGGGGGAAGCTTTGGCTGCTATGGAAAATAGGCTGCTTTGGAGGCCATGGATTGCTGATTGAGAGAAGGGGAGCAGGAATTTTGGAATGGATCAGGGAAAAAGGTGGTTTAACAGAATGTTTAGCAGAAAGGAACCATAGCTATTAAAGATGACAGAAAACAAGTAGGAGGGGGAAGTGATGAAGGGACAAATCAAACAAATAAAATAGAGATTGGGAAGGAGTCAAAGAGAGCAAGATTAAACTTATTCTGACCCTAAGCACAATTACTTGGAAGCAGACCCAGGTGTATCCATCTTCCAGCTAATTGTTTTAAGGGTATCTACCTGATGCCAATACACAGAAGATCACACCCTTACTAATCTATGCTAGTTATTCTGGAATAACTGTCACACTGTCCACAGTCTTTATGGTGGATTAGAACCCCCATAATTATCTATTGGTCCTTTTCAGAAGCTCTCTCTGTGCAAGTTTGTGGAGAAACCAGCAGGGTTGCAGGGCTGTGAACTCTCCATGGGCTGAATGTTCCCACTGCATAAGTGGCTGTCCCCACATTTGGGCCTGCATGTTTCTGAGCTGCAGTGACGAAATCAGTCATGGCAGCTGCTTGCCTTGGCCCTTTCTGGAAGGACTGTTACATGATGTCTGTGCCTCGACTCAGTTTCTGCCGGGCTCAGCCTCCCTCAGGTGCTTCTGTGGGGACTTGAAGCACCTTGATGGTGTAGATAAAAGGTGTCAAGTGGAATCCACACTAAAATATACTGAATATGTAGCTTTTGAAAAATAGGAGAGGGAGATTAAATGGCAGAAAAGGGAGTGAAAGCTATTAGAGAAAACATGGGAAAAGGGATGGATAGGGAATGTTCCCCCTCAGCCCTCCCACCCCAAACTATAGGCCCAGCTGCACCAGTAATTGTAGCATACATGCTGGTATTAGGGGAAATAATGGGGCTCTGACCCCCAGAAAGACAGTCACGAGGAGCAATCCCCACCCCCATTTTTGCAAATGTCCCCACCTGATGATCCCTGCCTCAGAAACTATAGGCCCGCTCCCCACAACATGGTAACAAGCGCCCCAATGCTGGGATGCCCTTCTCAGCCCACCTGCTCCATCATCCCCAGTACAGACCAGCAGGAAGGAGAAGCAGGATAGAATCGCCTCAAGTTTTAGTTTGCCCTCTGGCCTGACCCCAAAACATGGGAGGGGGCTTGCGTGTGCGTGTGTGAGAAAAGCCTTCACTGAAGTGCTGGATAGAGGACTGAACCCCGAGCTCCCTAACCCTTGAGCTGCCTGGCCTCAGGCACCTCCTCCCCCACGACCAACTTGCTTTCGTCCAGGGCATGGGAAGGGGAGATGGAGGGGGTGGCCATGGAGGGGGGAATGGATGTCAACAATGCCAAGAGTGATGCAACGCCTTCCATAATTTTGGGGGGGGGGGGGCTTTGTAGGGGAGGTGGGAGAGATTGGGTAGCTAGTTTTAGCTGGGAAGCAGGGAGGGCAAAGACCTGGGGGTGGTAAGGGGCTCAAGGAGCTGTCCTGGTGTGGCTGATGATGTATGGCCATGTGTGTGTGTGTGTGGGGGGGGCAGATCTGTGCACGCACATGTTTATTCACGTGCACGTGTGTGTATGCGCGTGCGTGCGTGCGTGCATGAGTGCATGAGGCAAGAGGGCAGTGGGAGAGGGGGTGATCTATCTCTAGTTGTAGTTTCTCATATATATATAATATATATATATATATATATAAACAGCACGAACATCTACATTCATCCTGGGGGGGGACCCTGCCAGCCCCCTCCCAGTACGAGCACCCACCAGCCCCCGCTTTTCCCTGCACAAGGAGACAAGGGGGGCAGGGACAGGATGGCGGCCTCCTCCTCACAGTGCCTCCTACTGGGGGCAGGGACCTGCAGAGAGGGAGAGAGAAAGACAAAAGAGAATGGATGAAGGTAGGAAACAGGACGCCTCCCTGTGGCAGATGGACACAGTAATGGGACAACACACATGCCGCTCCTCCAGGAACAACTTAATTTATTCACAGTACTGAAACCTGTTTCTGAAGGTTCTTAAGGGTGACCCGAGAAAGCCAACCTTTAGGAAAGGAGTGCAGAACCAACCACAGAGGGGCCAAATCCAGATTTTTGGGGTTCATCAGGAGGCCCCACCCCCTTTCCTTGATTCCACTCCATTTTCCCCAACCACCACCTGTGGTTTTCCAGCGTTGGGCAGCTTTTTCCCCATTTGAAAAGGCTGAAATATTTATCCTCAGTGACCAGCCCTGAGAGCTTTCAAGTACAATATGCTGGGTGTGCAGGGTGCCTGCACCCCTTTTCCTTTGGCTGCACCCACCACTGGCATGTGGGGCAAGAGCTTCATCAACACTGAATTTGTCCCTTGGACTGAAAGGAGTCATCAGGGCCTGTGGTTAGGAGACAGACTTCCCTGGCTAAGAGCAAGGAATTGCCACCCCTGCCCCCCACCATGGCCTCATTGCCCCCTACCCCCTAGGGGCCTGGCCTGGCTGAAGATACAGGCTAGGTTCAGACAGCACAATAACCTACCCTCAAGGACTGAGGATGGGTTAAGTGTGTATTGTCACTGAATCATGGAGCATTGTTGAAAAGTGGGTTATTACATTCTTTGTTCTTAGCCATGTGAACCAACCATGGTTTGTTCAGCACAACCAACCAACCACAAACCATGGGTTCTCTTCATGGGTTGCTCATAAATAACAAATATGGTTGAGGCAAGAGAACTCATGTTTTGAAAACCATGGTCCAGTGACAACTCAATCTCAAAGGTCATCATATCACCCAAACCCAGTCACACAGAGACACAGTGAAGACTTTGGAGAGGCCGTGAAATGCCAGGCCGCCATGCAAGCCTGGCCCTAAAATGATATGCTGCCTCCAGGCTGCAGAGATACACAATGTGTTTTTCTTAAAGCAAAGCCTACAACATCAATTTCAGGTTTAGGCTAGATACCACCTACTACAAGAAGCCCAATCGTTTGGAGGTGAGTGAAGTAAAACAAACTCGATTACTAAAGAACATATTAAATTCTGGTTTCATGTAAATCCAACTCAGCTACCAAAATTTCATCAGTCTGCTTCTGTGCAGGGCTGGCCATTTTGGTCACAAACTTTCCTTTCCTGCCCTTGCTTTTAATACCACCTGCTAAAGAACTGCAAACCTGCTAAATGCAGCCCGATATTTGTTATTAAGGAAATCTGGTACTCAGCAAATGTTCTTTTGTTGGTTTTTACTATGTAGATTTACCTTCTGGTTCAAGGTCAAACAAGTTTTCCCACATTAAAAGGAATTTAAAAACAAATCACAAAAGTCATGCTGAGAAGGGAGTGGGTAGCAATCCAGAATAGGACTACAGCAATGGGATAAAACTTTGCTCACACACATTATTCATGATTAAAATCACCCAAACAATTATACAATATCTGGGCATGTTTTAAACTTGTGGTAGACCACATGTTAGAGAGTGGGTTTCTCAGCTTTTGTGAGCTGAAGTGGCTTTGATGGTTTCCCTTGAGAAAGACCACACTTAGCAGAAAATGGCTTGTGTAGGGCTGGATCTGCTTCTCCCAAAATGCAGCCTACCAGGATAGAAACCTCAGATTCCAAGTCTAACCTGGAAGAAGAGCTGCCTTGGCATGCTTAGGTGAAATGTCAAAGCCAGCTATCTTGAGATAGACCAAGTGGCTCGGGAAAACCAGACCACCTCTGGTTCAGGTGGGGGAGCCACTGTGGAACCGAGAGGGCCAGAGGAGAGGAATGCAACCTCAGTCCCATTGCTGATGCCAGGTCAAGAGAGCTAGACAATTCAGAAATGGCCAACATTTCCTGTGGCTGGCCACAAGCAGTGGGAAGATCCTTGAGGGTAGAGCTAACTCTGTTTGGCAGGGAAATGAGGAGGAGGAGGATTCAGTCTTGAATCAATTCCTAGCATAAGCAAATCAGCTGGCTCATTAACTTGATGGATTTCTTTTCCTAAAGACCTTTGCAATATTCCTCTTTTGTATCACAAAGCCAATCCTATCTGGCTTGCTTTAACATAATGAAGGTGCAGTTGGGGGGCGGGGAGAGAGACTGACTCTTGATAGCTGGATTCAGATAGCACAATAATCCCTCCTGGAGGGTGAGCATGGATTGACATTGGACTGCTGTTGGCTGTTGTTCTAATATGGGTTATTATGTTGCTTGAACCCAGCTGTGCTAACAAACCATGGTTAGCTTTAACCACAAACAACTCATTAAGCAAAACCATGGTTTGTTGGGTTGTGCACATGAGTTGTTTATGGTTAACCAAGCAGGGTTTGTTAGCTTGGCTAGGTTCCAAATTTCAGTAATAATACACGTTTCAACAACAGCTCATGGTTCACTGACCACACATACTCAAGCCTTGAGTATTGTCTGAACCCACTCGATGCTTTTCTGCCCATTAAGGCCATTTGAGGAGGATATGTGATCATAGCAGCAGCTTGCAGGGGACAGCTGTTTAAGTAACCCCAGATGGATTCTGGGAGTCAAAGTGGAACCTCAGAGAATTGAACCAATGTATAAGTCATTTACAGGCTAGCAAAAATACTGTACAGGCCACCAAAGCCAATTATCTATCGAGGATGGTTCAAAAGCATCATGGATATTCTCACTGTTCCTGATGCTCACAGTCAAGGTGCAGTTGGGCTCCAAGATCCTTTACTTTACACCTGCCTTTCCCAATCAGGTGCCCTCCATCTGTGTTGACCACTTGCCTATTGGATCCTTGCCTGTCTTGGTTAATAAATAACTCCAGGCACGGGATTGGGACCTGGATCTTGGAAGTGGTTAACGCTTCTCTGAGGGACGGCCAGGTGCCTGCCCCTTTAAAGGAGGCGGTAATATGACCAGTCCTGAAGAAAGCGTCACTGGATCCAGAGATGGCCACTAACTATAGACCAGTGGCCAACATCCCGTTTCTGGGCAAGGTGTTGGAGCGAGTGGTGGTGGGACAACTCCAGGCACTCTTGGATGAAACTGATTATCTGGATCCTTTTCAGTCCGGCTTCAGACCCGGGTACAGTACTGAATCTGCCTTGGTCGCCCTGTACGATGACCTGTGCAGGGTGAAGGACAAGGGGAGTGTATCCCTGTTGGTTCTTCTGGACCTCTCGGCGGCTTTCGATACCATCGACCATGGTATCCTTCTGGATAGGCTAGCGGGATTGGGGGTTGGAGGCACTGCTTTGCAGTGCTTCCGCTCCTATCTCAACGGTCGATTCCAGAAGGTAGTGCTGGGGGACTATGTCTCTGCGCCATGGCAGCTATGCCATGGAGTACCACAGGGCTCCATTCTATCCCCTCTGCTATTTAACATCTATATGAAACCGCTGGGAGAGGTCATCAGGAGGTGTGGGCTGCGGAATCATCAATACGCTGATGATACCCAGCTCTACCTCTCGTTTTCCACTAATCCAGGTGAGGCAGTGGCTGTGCTGAACCGGTGCTTGGCCAAGGTAATGGAATGGATGAGGGCCAACAAACTGAAACTCAATCCAGACAAGATGGAGGTCCTGTTGGTTGGCGGATCGGGCTTCGGAGAGGGTGGATTTGACCTGGTCCTGAATGGTGCAACACTCCCTCTTAGGGACAAGGTCCGCAGCTTGGGAGTACTCCTCGACCCGGAGCTTTCTTTGGAAGCTCAGGTGACAGCGGTGGCGAGGAGCGCCTTCCTTCAGCTTCGGCTGATTAATCAGCTGCGCCCCTACCTGGAGTACGACTGCCTGGCGACGGTGACACACGCGCTGGTGACTTCCCGCCTAGACTTCTGTAACGTGGGGCTTCCCCTGAAGACGGTCCGAACACTTCAATTGGTGCAAAATAGAGCTGCCAGGTTGCTGACGGGGACGGGGTGTTATGCTCACATGACTCCAGTCCTCCGTCAGCTTCACTGGTTTCCCATTGAAGCCTGGGCCCAATTCAAGGTGTTGGTTATGACCTACAAAGCCCTAAACGGCTTGGGTCCTGGCTACCTGAATGAGCGCTTACGTCCGTATATGCCCGACCGCCCCTTGAGATCTGGGGGAGAGTCCCTTCTCCGGGAACCCTCCATGAAAGAAATTAGGAGAGTAAGTACTCGGAGGAGGGCTTTCTCTGCGGTGGCACCCAACCTCTGGAATTCACTCCCCAAACAGGTCCGCCTGGCACCGTCGTTACTGGTTTTTCGGCGCCAGGTAAAGACCTTTTTATTTAAACATCATTTTAATTGTTAAAATATATGATTTGGCCAGGGCAACTTCTTCTTCCTTCTCTTTTCTCCTCCCATATTCTTTATTTACTTATTTCATACTGTTAATTTTTATTTTATATTATTGTATCTCAGTGTATTTTTTGTATTTTTGTATTTAGTGGTAATTTATTATGTTCTATTGTATTTCAATGCATTTTATTGTGTTGTAAGCCGCCCCGAGGCTTCGGCAAGGGGCGGCATAGAAATGTAATAATAATAATAATAATAATAATAATAATAATAATAATAATAATA